GCTAGTTGAAATATTGGTTGGCACTACGGTTGCGGGACCAAAGAAGTCACGAATGCTTGACTGGCCTGGAGTCTTGGGAGGCCTTGGCTTTGCCTTCGGTTGCTTGGGTTTTCTGACAAAGAAAGCATTGATGGAAGTCTGCACCTGCAAGGGGCTCTTGGTCCTGGAAGAGGCTTGCGATGGGTCCGTTCCATTGGAGGGCTGAGAACAAGTTGGGCGCAGCTCGCAATGATCCATGGCACCGTCAACATCGTAAAATGGCTGGTCAACTTGGCAATCAGTTGCAGGAGCTTGCTCGAATGTCGCAACGGGGTCAACATTCAAGGAGGCATCTGGATGGCACGGCTTAGTCTGCACTACCACATGATCGGATGGCAAGGTGTGACTGGGTGTGTCATGCGCTTCCTCCTGACTGCAATCGACATCTTGGGGTAATGGGATCTCCTTGGCACACCATCTGAGGCGTTGCTTGGTGACAGACGCAATGGCCCTTTTGGAGGCAAACAATTGCGTGAGAAAGGTTGTATCTTCGGCAAGGTCCATCGGGTCCAGAAGGAAGTCCATCATTGCATCAGTGGTTCCATCTTGGTGCAGGGTGTTGGCAGCTACCTGTGTGTCCACCTCATGACCGTAGGGGGGCGGGACATCAACTGTGGCATACGACCCATGGGTAACTGGTCTTGGATCTGTTTGAGTGATCGGCCACAGAAGCCCATCGAGGCTGACTCCACAACCCTCTTGGAGATACTCACAGTAGTGAAACACCGCCGCTTTAAAAAGGATTTGCCTGCGACTGACATGATGTGTGACCCTATGTACCCCCCTTACCACCGTGGGTTGGTTGGTAGTACCTGAGGCAGTTGGGCGGTGGTGGTAGATCACATCTATCATAATCAACCGATCGGTCGAGTGCAGGGGGATGTCACCCACCCATTGGACTATTGCTGGTATGGCCAATTCTGGAAAGGCATCCGGAGAAATGGGCATGATGTGCAGGGCTTCAATGCAGTTGAACGGAACTCTCAGTGCGTCTGCAATGGTGTGAGACGGCTGTGCGAGCTGTGCGTTAACCAACTGTACCACAGTGTCCATGCCATCCATTTGATAGATGTGCAAGGGAGTGGTGAATTGGGATGCAGTTGTGGCTGTCTGCAACTGTACATCGTCAGTGGCCTGCTGGGTGGTCCTACTGGAGTGAGTGTCAGTTGATGATCCCGCCTGAGAGTTGGATTGCAACGCTAATTGGACCGGAGCCGAAAGAATGTGCAGTTGGAACCCATCACCATGAGACATGACATGTTGCGGTCGCAAAGTGTAGGGTATCACTTGCCACCCAAACGTCACCGTGCATTCCTGGTAGCTACATAAGGTAGCTGCATCGGCTGCCTGGGCGATGTCGAAGCCACTGACATCCGTTTCGAAAGAGGCTGCAACTGAAAACATGTCAAATGTGGCGGAACTGGACGGGAATACAGTAATCAAACCTGCGTACCTGTCGAGCTGAATTGACTGTGTGACAACCACATCCATCATGATAAAGCTGTGCCTAGGTGGTCGAGGAGGGTCCGGGTGAATGATCGTTACATCAAACCATTCATCGGGGTTGATTTGATCTACCCAAATGGAACTGATTTGTGCTTCCCAACCTCGTGGCGGCCCAACTAGTTGGAGGTTGCGAGGGGCAGTCCATCTCCTAATGGTGGCATGATCAATGTACCATGTGCGGAGTGGAATCTCGAAATCTCCATCATGAATGTCAAAACCCATCCTGGTAAAACGGTTGGACAAGTCGGCGACAAATGCAGGCGGAGGTGTCGGCTGATGACCCTGCTGATTGAGTCCGGGTTCTGCTGGTGGCTGATCTGCCGGCAATTGAGCCACCAGGTCAGTGATAGGACTCTCATGTTCCAAACGGCACTGTCGGATGCACGAGGCGGGTCCTAAATCATGATAATGGCCGGATTGGATGCCTGACTGTACAGGGCGACAAACGGTGGCTACTGCAATGCGTTCGGAGCAAAATCCTGGACTGTTGCCAGTTTGCAGTGTGCGTCGGAAGTGCTGCGGCTGCCCATGCTTGGTGTCGGCGGCGTTCTCATGGGCCGCTCCTTGTGGGAGTGCATGCAAACGCAAAATGTCGTGGCCCTGAGATTGGGGATTCTGAATCACAGGGTTGCCATGTTGAGTGCAGCGACCTAAGATGGGACAGACTTCGACTCGTGAGGGACAATATTTGTACCTAGGTGGCGGGACAGGCAAACTCCAATCGACCTCCGCGAGTGATGGTGAACAAATACGACCTGGATCAAACAAATCGGCAGACCTGGCATCAACCTGATCATCGCAGGGGCCGGTATCAGGACTTGGATCAACAGGTGGCGACTGGGTGCGGCTCTGTACAAAGCATGGATCGACCTTAGTGCATGAACATCGAGCCTGGCGCAGTGCTCTAATGCTGCTGACTTCACCGGGATCAACAGGCTTTGCATGGCTTTCACCGCTAACTTCATGTGAGACAATTGACCATGGTTTATTCGACATGTTGAGTGACTGGTGGGGCACCGTGATGGCAATGAAGGTCTGATCTTCGTCAAGGCCTATGAACAATTGGACATTTTCATCAAAAGTGACCCTGGCTGCCTTGGGTATGGGGTTCGAGCGCCTTGGAACAACCCTAGTCACCCTCAAGTCGGGAGGACCCAATGGTGGGTGTGAATCATGGACTTCAACTGCTAAATGGAAAGCAATGTCTTGGGCTGTCCACTCATCAGCAAAGTCTAATTCGTTCAAAAATGTGTGTTGCCATTTGATGGTTTTCCAAAAATTGTCCTTCAAATCCATGGTGTTGGTTGGAATTGGAAAAGTACACCGTTGAACTTGGGACAAGTCAACAAACGCATCATAGGCAAAACAATGCTCGTGCAGATCACTACCATGGGATTTCCACCAGGATTTGCACTCAAGATCAAAATCGCTGTCAGGATGGCTTCGAAACTGAACAGGAAACATTGAGGGCAAACTGTAAAAACCCTGGTCAAAATTGAAGGCAAAATTGGCAGTGTCTGCATGGCCTCGATGGCCTGGTTGGTGTCCCCAGTAAGGCTTAAGGGGCCTATGAGCAATACATGCTGTGGGTGTATTTACTCGCCCTCGCCAAAACCCGGGTTGGGTGGCGTCTCTTTTTCTTTTTCCTTGCTGTTGGGAGATTCCGTTCTGGGCCTCTTGCGGTCCTGCTGGTCCACTTCTTGTTGCACCGCTTGGACTGCTTGGGTGTGTAAGGCCCGCAGATTGTTTGCCAGGTCTTGGAAGCTCGCCGCAATCTTCTCTCCAGCCGCTGAGTCGTGTGCCTTTGCAGGGATATCCTCGGTGTCGCTGGCCATAGCCGCATCCTCTTTGGGGACCACTCCGGCAGCTAACTGGGAGCTGCTGAGGTTCTCCTTTGCAACGGCCAGATTTTCCTGAGCAGCCTGAAGGCGGTCCAGCGGTCCATGAGCTGTTTCTCCTGGGACATGAACTGGTTTGTGTATGCAGTCCATTGTTGAACTGATTGTGACAGGAAGTTCTTCCAAGCCACATGCATGTTCAGCCTGGCGGCCTGTGCATCTGCGATCTCCCGCTTTGCTCTGCCGTGTTGTGACACCGCCGCATGGAGCTGTTTGGTTTCCTGCTGACCAGCACGGATGGAGACATCCTTCATCAAGGCCTGAACATCGTCTGGCAGGGCGTCTTGGTGCTTCCTGAGAGCGGCAACCAGTGAACGCAGCTGCTTGTCCTTGTCTTTGTCGTCCTTGGTCTCCGTCAGCTGAGAGGAGGAAGGGCCTATTGACATGCTGGGCGCTGCTGTTGAGGCTGTCATCCAAGGTGGTTCCAAGGAGGGCATAGCAGGCAGCGATTGTGGACCATACTGCACCTGGTCGTCTGCTTGCTTCTGCTTGCCTTTTCCTTTTGCATGTGGTCCTTGTTTCCCTTTTTTGGATCTCTGCCTTGGAGATTGCCTTCTTCTGGGAGATTTGATCCACTGCGCCTGTTCCCAATGGGATTGCTCTTCCCATTGGTCGTTGCTCCATTGCACTGTTCTTGGGGTGGTTGGACGAGCCGGAGGAACAAAATTGGCATCCATTGTCACCTTCCAAGATTGGCCACATCTGGCACAATGTTCGTGTTTTCCACTGCAGATGCGCTTGCAGGGGAGACACTTCCACGGTGCTGGGGTTGAGTAGTCCATCTGCGATTGGATCTTCTCCAGCACCGTTGGATCTCGCGAGTGATGGCTTTTCAAAACCTTGTGTACTGCGGCTAATCTCCAGGTGGGCAAAGGACAAATCCCTTTGCGATGGAGGTACCAGCTGAGCCGGGCAGAAGACCTTTTCCTCCTGTCCGCTCTTCTCTTTGTGTTGGTTGCCGTTTCTGCTCAAAGATTCCGACAGAACCAGTGGAAAAAAGCTGATATAGTCGCAGGCCAAGCAAAATGAAATGATGTAGATGGCCAAAACTGACAAAATTGAGCACATCCACAATGAGCCAGTAGGAACAATGCAGTGTACAGGGGCTTACCCCAGAAATAAAAACCGGATGGAAAACACCAGGGCTATACCAGATCAGTGTAATCCAAAAAGGTGTTGCAAATCAGGTGTAAAATGCCCACCTGCAGAAGCTACCTGTAGACCGTTGCCAGTCGAAGCACAGACCAATTGAAGACAAGGCCAATCCAATTGTAATCAGTGTTCGGCACACTGCAGAGCCAGGTAGAAAAAACCAATGCCGGAAAACTGTCAGTTCCGTGTACCCTGAAAATCAGTGTATGGCCACTGCAGAACCAGCAAATCAGATTGAGGACAAACCCAGTGAGCTGAGCGAACAGCAGTCAGTGGTAAAAATGTCCCAATTGAAGACCAAGAAGGCGCAAATTCAACCAAATACAACCAATGTAAAGGGCAGCTCTTCGGCTTGTCCAGCACAAAGGGAATGGCGCGCCCGCGGTAGTAAAAACCCGCTAAGGCTTAGGGGCCGGCACTGAACGACGGGTGGCGGCTCGACCCGAAAACCTTGAAGGATGACATCCCATATATGAAATGGATTTCTTTTACACAAACATGAAACCACCAACCAGTCATGGATGTCCTTGTCCGTTGTGGAAAACGGATGTGTTTTCCAAACACCGGAACCTCCCGGAACTGATCCACCACGGACTGGAGCATGGAGGCCACAGCACCACCTGCCTGAAAGTCCCAGGGTGAAACCGAAGGAAATGGACATTGAAAAATGCATTGAACAATGCGCTGGGATCATTGGATGATGATTGAAAAACATATCCAATTTTCCTATCCATTTTTTTCCTATCCAATTTTTCTATCCATTTTTTTTCCTATCCATTTTTTCTGGATGATTGGTGAAGATCCGATATCTGGAAAATGAGCTAAAACATATTCTATTTTCATAGACGGTCACATAGAGAACATGTCCAAAATGTTACCAACTTTGGGATTTCTATATTTACCATCTATATGGGTTTGTCTGAAAATGGGGGTATGCCCAAAACCACCATTTCATGGGCGAAAAATGTGATAAACAGTGGGATTTAGGGGTATCCTCTTTTCAGATGGAACATGTTCATGGGATTTGGTAAAATGTGATGGGACGTGTTCTATATATATATATGTATATATATAATATGTGTATATATATTATATGTATATATATATTATATGTATATATATATATATATATGTGAATAACATCCATCAAAATAGAACATCCGACCCCATTTATATGATCTTAATATGTATATCCCATGTGCCCTGCATGGCTGGACATTCCCAGCTAGTCTCCCACCTCTTTCATCTCGCGGAGGAAATCCACCAGGGCCGTCTCCTTGATCTTTGCCTTTTCAAAGGCGACTTCTCAGTCGACGACTCAAGGGGATCAAATGATGGATTTCGCCGGAGAAAATGATGGACAAATGGCGTGATGTCAGGTGATTTGAAGAAGCGAGATGTTTTTTTAAGAATGATTATCAATTATAGTCATCCCCAAATAGATGGAAAAGTAAATCAGCATCAAATTAGTAGGGATTTACGTTTCCATCTATTTGGGGATGACTATAAGTATTATGAACCGAGAATCACGTATGCAAATGCTCATCAATTAAGCAATCGTGGATTTTGAGGTGACCAGAGGTGACCTGCTAATTTCAAGCAACTGAGATTGGAAATCACAATGTCCTGATTAGGTTGTGAGGAAATGCAGAATTCACAAACAGGAGGATTGATTCTGATTTTCGGGTGAAATGTTCACTAACAATCATTGGATGGACTGTAGAGGACAATTCACCTTGACAATCTATCGGCAAGATCCAATAACAAGTGATTCCATGTCTATACAGTCTATACATAGTTACATAATACAATGTAAGTATATCAGGTATGCATGTATCATCATGTATCCTAAAAAAACTTAAAACATAAACTATGGTTCTTCCATGTTCTTCCCTACTCACTTTGGGCGTATCAAAAGCTGTCAACCAAGGCGACATCCGGTCCGACCGCCATGACGTCCCCATGGCACCTCCCCTGTGGCCGCATCCTTGGCAGCTGCCACGAGTATCCCCGACAGGAACATGGATCTTAAGGGTTTATGGAGAAGCCCCACTTTATCCATTCGGATCTACAACATCCAAAAACGCGATTTCCTAACAAAAACTTGTCATACTTGCATAAGGAAAAACGGACTTCCACTGTCTCAACTTTCCCCACCAAAAAGACCTTCAACTGTCTTGGGTAACTACCTCAACCCACCAGTTTTTGTACGACCTCCCACCGTGCCCCCAGTTACGCCAAGTTGCACTATAGTGTAGCCGTAGGATCTGCAGCAAGGTCTTCTTGGAGGCATCTAATGCCCTGCGATGGGTAGCATTCGGGGTTTTCCATAGTCCTGGGGGTACCCCAATAGCTGGATGGCATATTTCATAGAAAATCCATAAAACATGTATGATAACTGGAGGTACCCCACTGACTTAGGAAACCTTCATTTGAGTATCGATGGATTGGTGTTGTGAAATTCAAACCAGAAATGGGTTTGACGGCTTTGACCAACATGTTTCAGGATTTGTGATAACTAATTACAGTAGTAGATCTTCGCGGGAAACAATTCAGAGACACATCCAGTGACCCAAAAGAGGGAGGGACAGGCAAAGTAAGACCGGCCAACTGCCATGCGCAAAAATCGTCATTGTTAGCAACAGGACCCAAGGCTTATTTTGAAACCTGGAACTTCGGAAACATTAAGCTTCGTTACCGTTACCCAGTGTTTAATGGGATTTTAACAGGTTTTAACATGTTTTAACCATCAATTATCCTTCGCTGGGATCAAAGAAGAGTCCCAGCCGCGGACCACTGGCTGCTGAGACATTGCAACATCGAAATCATCCCATTGTCAGCCAATGCAGCCTCTGTGCTGCTGCTTGCGGCCGGCAAAGCCAGTAGCGTCGTACCACCTGCAGGGGAAAAAATACAGCTGGTAGATGCCGCATGCGCTGAGTCTTATGATGTCTTATGGTTTGACCGATTGATCCGTCAAGAAATCTGTATCAATGACTTTATCAACTAGTTAACCATGTCTTTTCTCGGTTTTCCTCGTCCGCAGAAAAGGAGGAGTTAGGCGCCTCTACGGCCAAGTCATGAAGGACTGGATCCAGGAAGGCCACGAAGATGTAGTTTTTCATCTGGGAGATTCCACGGGGCGCGGGTTGAGAGCCGCGATGGGGCGGATGGGGACGGACGATGACCATGACGACGATGATGATGGAAACCAAGGTGATGATGATGATGATGATGATGATGATGATGTTGTGTTTGATGACAATCATGACGACGATGACTATGACGACGTTGACTATGACGACCATGACGATGATGTTGGCGATGACAATGACGACGATGATGATGGAAGCCAAGGCGATGATGATGATAATGGTGGTGATGATAATGGTGGTGATGATGATGACGATCATGGTGATATAGAAGAAGATGATGGTGATGATGATGATGATGATGTGGATGTGTTTGATGACAATCATGACGACGATGACTATGACGACGTTGACTATGACGACCATGACGATGATGTTGACGATGACGATGACGACGATGATGATGGAAGCCAAGGCGATGATGATGATAATGGTGGTGATGATAATGGTGGTGATGATGATGACGATCATGGTGATATAGAAGAAGATGATGGTGATGATGATGATGATGATGATGATGATGTTGTGTTTGATGACAATCATGACGACGATGACTATGACGACGTTGACTATCACGACCATGACGATGATGTTGACAATGACGATGACGACGATGATGATGGAAGCCAAGGCGATGATGATGATAATGGTGGTGATGATAATGGTGGTGATGATAACGGTGGTGATGATGATGACGATCATGGTGATATAGAAGAAGATGATGGTGTTGATGATGATGATGATGATGATGTTGTGTTTGATGACAATCATGACGACGATGACTATGACGACGTTGACTATGACGACCATGACGATGATGTTGACGATGACGATGACGACGATGATGATGGAAGCCAAGGCGATGATGATGATAATGGTGGTGGTGATAATGGTGGTGATGATGATGACGATCATGGTGATATAGAAGAAGATGATGGTGATGATGATGATGATGATAATGTTGTGTTTGATGACGATCATGACGACGATGACAATGACGATGATGACTATGACGACGGTAACTATGAAGACGATGACGATGATGTTGACGAAGACGATGACGACGATGGCGATGACAACCAAGGCGATGATGATGTTGATGATGATGGTGATGATGTTGATGATGATAATGATGATGATTGTGATGACGATGATGATGATGACGATCATGGCGAAAATGATGATGATGATGATGATGATAATGATGATGATGATGATGATGACGAAAGATGATGATGATGATGATTATGATGATGATGATGATGATGATAATCACGACCATGATGGTGATGACGATGATGCAATGATGACGATGATGACAAAAACGATGATGGCGATGATGATGATGATGATGATGATGATGTTGACGATGATGTAGATGATGATAATGATGGCAACGATGATGATGACGACAATGTTGTTGATGATGATGAAAATGGTAATGTTGATGATGATGACAATGTTGATGATGACGATGGTAATTTTGATGATGATGATGATGACGATGATGGTGATGATGATGATGATGATGATAATGGCGATCATGCCGATGATGGTGATGATGATGGTGGTGATGGTGATGATGATGATGATGAAAATGATGAAAATGATGATTGTGACGATGATGATGATGGTGATGATGCTGATGTTGAAGATGGTGGTGATGATACTGATGTTGATGATGGTGATGATGATAACAATGTTGATTATGATGAACATGTTTATGATGGTGATGATGATGTTGGTGATGATAAGGATAATGTTGTTAATGGTGATGATGATGTTGATGATGATGCTGCTGTTAGTGATGATGACGTTGATGATCATGATAACGTGTATGATGAAAATTTTGATAATGGTGACGATGGTGATGATGATGATGATGATAATGATAATGATGTTGATCATGATGACAATGCTGATGATGATGATGATGATGATGTCGATCATGGCAATGATGATCATTTTGATGATGATGTTGTTGTTGTTGATGATGATGATGATGCTTGTGATGATGACAGTGATGATGATGTTGATGATAATGATGATGATGTTTATGATGATGTTGATGATGAAGATGATAATGATGGTGATGATGACGATGATGGTGATGATGATCATGATGATGATGATAATGGCGATCATGCCGATGATGGTGATGATGATGATGGTGATGGTGATGATGATGATGATGATGATTATGGTGATGGTGATGGTGATAGTGATGATGATCATGATGATGATGATGATGATGGTGTGATGATAATGATGGTGTGATGATGATAATGATGATGATGATAATGATGATAATGTTGATGATGATGGTGATGATGGTGATGTTGATCATGATGATGATGAATCTTGGATCATGAATCATTAATCATGGATCATGAATCATTGCTCATGGATCATGAATGACATCAATGATGATAATCATGATAACGAGAACAACACAAAACAAAAATCATAGTCTTCATGTTAATTAATTAAGATAAGCTTGATAAGCATGACAAGCATAACAATACAGCAATTTCATGAGAATCATGATGATTATTAGTTATCATTGTCATGATGACTTTTTATGCCTATGATATCGTGATGTTTTTTTTCACAATGATGATCATGCGGCAGGTGCAGGCGTTGGTGCTTTTGCTGGTGTTGATCTTCCAAAGACAGGGGCGCCATGGTGAATCCGTGCCTTCTCAAAGACCATCAACCAGGTATCATCCAGGTCCACACTGGACTCGGGCAAGCAGCAAGTCAGCACCTGTCATGGCTCTGATCCTATCGCTGTTGGATGATGACTCTTGGGAACAGTCCGGTAGATCCTACGTTGGTAGCTTATTACAAAAAAAATATGGAGGAGGTTTAACTTGCAACTTACAACTGTAACTATTTTAGGGTTGGAACTTATTGTTCAGTTCCATTTTTTTGCATCGACCCAAGGATAATTAATTGGACTTTCTTGATTTAAATCGACAAAAATTGAAAAGGACAATGGTGGACACTACAGTACAATTGAAAATCAAGAGCCAGCCTGGTACATTCTAAATATAGCACCTAAATTCCTGTCATACACCAAATTCTGCTCCCAATTCCTCACCGCTTGGCGAGCAGCCGCTTTGCTACAGTCTGGATGTTTCCATAGTTCTTTCCATAGACTATGAACATTTAATAAGTTGCTATGGACAATGGTCCATTTATAAATGAGAGAGATAATTGACCTATGAAAATGGTGATTCTCCATAGCAAACTGTTCGTCATTACCAGAGGATATGCCCATGAATTATATCCCCACTTTGGATGGTTAAGTCATGTTAAATCACCATTAACATCAATTTATAGATGACTTCCCCATGAAATCTTCCATTTATCATGGATTTTCCATAGCTATATCCATCAAGTCTGACCATTTTCCATAGCTATTTTCCCATGAAAACCTCCATTTGACCTCCATTTATAGATCATTTTCCCATGAAATCCATGAAATCCTCCAGCCAACCCAGCGTAAGCTGCTGGATATCCTCCAGCGTAAGCGCCTCAAAGTGCTCCGTCTCCAGGTGCGGCAAATTCTGCGCTGCTGCCACCTCTGCCATGGTCCTGGTGGCAGCAGGGAGCATCAGAATCAACCAATTGTGGGGAGATATAACATATGAACGTACATTACAATATATAATCATATAATCTAGAATATACAATATATATATATATAATATAATATAATTTAATCATCTAAATAATTTGATATCAAATTTGGGATCTAATGCAGAGTAAAATATAGGAGATAATATAGGATATAATAATATGGAATACAATGTACGCCAGTACCATGGGTTATGGGCGACAATATTGGATATACAATCAACTTAATATGAATTCAACATATTCCAAATATCAAGGTTAGTCCCAACATCCCAGATAAGACAGGGAAACAATCTAAATATAGATGTAAAGTCATTTATACCATTTTATACCTAGAATAGGTTGGAGGCAGCCGGTATAGAGAGGATTTGTTGTTGGGCATCCCTCCGGCACTTTGGCCCCTGTCAACTGACAGCGAAAAAAAGAAGTGAGTTCTACCCCAGCCAAACCCCAGAAACATCGAAAATCTATGAAAATCTATGGATTTGCGGGTTTCAGATGGTCTTGGTGGGTTCATTCAAGCGATGGCCCAACTGTACGCATACCATTGCACCAACTGTCCGCCCACATCCTTGCAATGTCCACACCAGGCCAATAGTCGAGGAGACAGCATTCCTGCACTAGAAAATGTCAACAGTGGCAGTCGGCCCTCTGAGTCTATGAGTCATGGGGATATCGATCACCAAATCTGATGTCAGTAAAGCTGAACCCGACAAGACGAAATTGGTGTTTGGATGCCGTATGATTCTTGTATGATCTGTTTCAGGACGCCATGGGTGTTCCCCAATCCTTTCTAGATCATCACCCATGGGCTTAACACATATTGATGTTCAAGTCTGTCTGAACAAGTCATCGATGAATTTCCAACCAGAACCAGCCGTCATCTTAGCTATGATGAGAAATCACGGATGTGTTAAAAATATTATATATATATATAAATGATTATACATGATCCTATGTTTCCAGCCACAAGGACCCATCATTCATGACCAACCTTCCCCTCCAAGACACGCTAGATCCATCTAAATCCCTTCTCCATTTCTCCCTTAGAGGCCACTGAACCAGTCCTCATAGACACGAGAAGATGTTCCAATGGAATAGCGCTTGCGTATCGACCCCTGGCCATGATTCTGCTGTGTCACAACTGCTGGGTCGTTGGGTGCTTTTTTTAGTCCGTCAACAGAAATCACCTGTATTCAGTCCGTCAAAATCCTGTAGATTTAGTGTGTTGGGATGGGAACAGAACATTTCTGGGAGCTAGCTTGGAAAGATTCTAGCAATCGAGTCAGGAGACTCAGAATTACTAGTAGTAGCAAGTGAGGGGCACCAACCAGCAACAACAAATGTGTGGAGCAAAAATTGGCTGCACCCTTCCACAGGCATGGAATCAATCAAAGTTCAAAATGGTTCAAATCATCTGACAACCAGCCATCACACCATCTCCAGCTATCCAAACCAGTCATATCTTCCTCCAGGAGCCAAATTCAACTGCCTTTGGCCATGGGTCAATAGATCAGTCTTTCCATGGGTCGACATCCCACACCGAGAACTCAGATGTTGTCACAGGAGAACGGCCCAGCAACAAGCAGCTCAGCTGCTGCGCCTGGTGTTCAAGGATGCGATGACGAAACTGCGCTGGTTGCTGCAGTAAAGCCTTGGTTACTACGACACGGCGAGCTGCTGCTGTGATGGTTACACGACAGCCGCTGTGAAATGAATGTTCTGCTTCATCAGTTCCTAGTGATTACAGAAGCAACATGAAACAACTAGTCTAAATGATTCAATTTGCTGTCTTGAAACGATGTCTTTAAACCTAAATCATTTGATGAATCTCCTCGATGTCAGGAACCTTCAGCACCTGGGATCCGGCCAGGTCGACCATGTTGTCTTCCGGAACATCTTGGCATCATTATATGGACGTGCAGTAATCATATGTGTGACTGGAACAATGTCATGGTTTTGGTCATTTATAGTGAGTTTTCCCATTAAAAATTGTGATTTTCCTTAAGCTAAGAAATTTCAAACAAGGACAAGAACGATTTTTGAAACAATCCCAAGTCCAGCTGTTGACGAGACACCGCAACATAGCCTGGTAGCAATTGCGGATATGGCCTGAAGGCAGAAACCGGGTCAGGGCGGGCCTCTCAAACAACATCCTGGTCCCAATGATTGATTCAAAGTTGGGGGACCATGAAAGCTGCAAATGGGTACAACCCTGGAAACTTTGAGCATGGCTGGCATCGCTTGCCTTTAAGCTTCAATCCCCCAGAGTGAGTAGCTGAGTATGGCTGTGCTTGTACAAATTGATAAGTACACAATATCTTGCCAAGGGCCTAGCAGCTCAAAGATGCCAAAACAGTTAAGTTGTACTTTTTGTAAGTTCTTGTGGATGTCCCGGCCTCAAGACCTTTGCAAGAGAGCACAAGCCGATCTGAATCACAACCTTTGATCTACCTGGCGCCGCAGTCAGTCAGTGGAACTCATCCTATGCCAGGCGGCAACTGGGTCAAAATTGACCCAGGGATTGGGATTGGGTTGTACTGTTTTGTCCATCTTCGTTTAAAAACTGAACAAACTACTTATGTTATCTTATGTTGACAAAACAAACCAACATTACAATGACTATAGTCTATAGTCATTGCATAGTGATGATGATCCTCAAGATTTGCTGTATCATCTAGTCTCATCTATAACGTCCAGCTGCCCAGCTGTGTTTTTTGGTGCCCTGAAGGCCCTTCGTGCCCGGCTCGGATCGAAAGAATCCAACTTCTCCCGCCTTTCAAGGACATCAACTCTTCAGCCACCTCAGTGGATTCCATCAAAATTTCCCATCATTTGGTGCATGTTTTCTTGCGAAACATCAGTGGAAAAGTACACTGTATACTAACAGGGCTTCATGATCCCAAATATATGTGTAAATCATTGTGAACCCCAAATATATGGGTAAATCATTGTGAATCCCAAATATATGTGTAAAACATTGTGAATCCCCTACTATATACCACGGTTTTCTGGGGGGTGTTACTCTCTTTCAGCACTGCATGTCCTGGCGATCCACAAAGGCGGCCCCCCCGTTTTCTGAGCTTGGTGGCGCTCAGTAGGCGCTGCTCCGCCGTTTTCCGGATTGCTTCCAAATCCTTGTCTGCCTGCAGTTGTGACTCCCCAAAAAATGGTGATTTGATGGGATTTAATGGGATATCATGGACTATTAGTGGAATGCTAACGGGATTTAATTGAATATTAATGGAATATTAATGGGATGTACAGTAATGGGATGTAATGGGAGGTACCCTACAGTGTCAAACATGGCTTGCAGGAAAATCCATCGATGGTTTTCCCATGTTCACTGAGTGACCCAACGCTCGTCCCCTCCGCTTGAACGCCTAGGGCAGGCTGCACAGGGGGGAAGTTTCAGACGGTAGACAAACTCGATTGAAGAACTTCAACTGGAGAAAAACTCAAGATATGTGCATGCAATGTAAATGTAATTGTAATTGTATGTAATTGTATACAAATGCAAATGCAAATGTAATTGTAATATATGAATCATGAATCAACTGTCAACTGGGCAGCCTTTTTTTGTCACTGTCACTGGCAAACCCACCATCCGGGTCGGGTTTTTGAGGCCTGCACTTGCTGCGTGCTCAAGAAGACATCCGGTCAACAACATCAACTGACCTTGCACCTGCGGTAACGACAGCACACATTTTATAATAACGACAGTATATAATGCAAAAACACAAAAAAACTCAAGCTGGTAATGTGGTAAACCAAGGAAAAACCCAATATAAAACCTCGTAGGTATCCCCAATCTCACCATCCCAAACTGGGAGGTTGAACACCTTGGCTTTACCAAATTATATCAGCTATACATGTGTAAACCAGCTGTGAGTTTCAACGGACTTCTCTAAAATGGATGCTTCAAAGTGTTAAAAAAAAACTTGACTGGTCTGAAAAGGAGCAACACTTGACATTTTAGGAGCATTGCCAATTGCCAGAATAACCATTCAGTGTGTATGGTCTCTGGGAACCAAAATCATGGACCAGTCGTCAGTGGGATGGGGATGTGTGAACCCATTTTCCATGCAGAGCCCCAAACCTTTCTGGCACTATTCGTTCATGGAGCCAACTTGCGGACTCAGTATGCCACCTGGGATCTCATCTTTCTGAGTACTGAAGCCAACCTACTCTGGGAATAGGTTGCAAATTCATCGCAAACCAAAGCTGCACCTCCCACCAATCATCTGCAACGAGGTTGCAGAAGGTGTCGGTTTCATGAAGCACCTGAGGCGCGCTTGGAGGTTTTGATCCAAATGTATTCACTATTTCCTAAGTCATGGGGGTACCCCAAAATCATCCAAAATTCGTGCTTATCAACGGGTTTTCCCAATGGTTTGGGGTACCAATGTCTTGCAAACGTCATCCGTGGTCCCCAGCATTATGCGCAAAATTGCCGAATTCCTTGGAGACCTGGCTGTGCTCGTCATGAGAGGGTAAATAAATGTATGTCTGTCTGTCTGTTTGTCTGTATGTATGTATGTATGCATGCATGCATGCATGTATGTAATATATTATATTATATTATATTACATTATATCATATAATATTATATAATATTATATAGTATATTATATTATATAAAACTATTTCATATATATATATATTATATTTTAAATGTATTATATATAAATATTATGTGTATACATGCTTAACAAACCTGGGGCTGTCATAGGATGTCCACCAACAATCAAGAAAGGAAAACAACCAGGCAGTTGTCCGTGGCTACTGTGAAGCCAACAGCTCCATCGCTATATTGGTTCTAAATGTCTACATCATCCTACATCTAGACACCTCCTGGAACCCAACAGGAAAGGACACCTATTGCAGCGATAGCCTCACATCATCCTGATAAGTGGATTTCAAGATTTTTCGAACTAGTTTCAAAACCAATTCTTTCCATGGGGATGTTGATTTGGGACTAGATATAAGTTGGTCCAAAAAAACAACAACATCAATTCAATGAAATCCTCATCGTTGATCCCCTGGAACTCCCCAATCATAATCATTTATATATACATATATATATATATATTATATATATATAATCAAATATATATATATATAATCATATATATATCAAACATATATATATATAATCATGTGTATATATTACATAAAATTCATGCATATAATCTACACCATAATTATCATCATGTATATAATATAGATATGAAATGATATGAATTCACCCGTTTTCACAATCCAACTGACCATCCCCCAAGATGGGAATCGCCGCCTCGGTGAGCATGGCCAGGCCGGCGACCCGCACGGAAGGCTGGGGACTCTGAAGTGCCACCAGGGCATAGTACCTGGGTGTACCCCATCACCGGATGTGATGATGATGGTTGTGGTTGTGGTTGAGATGGTGATTGTGACACGGTTTTGATGGTGACGGTTATGGCGATGATGACGATGAAGACGATGACGATGACGATGATGATGATGATGATGGTGATGATGATGATGGTGGTGGTGGTGATGGTGATGGTGATCATAATGGTGATGATGGTGATGGTGATGGTGGTGGTGATGATCATGATCACGATCATGATCATGATGTTGTGGTTCTGGTGGTTCTGGTGGTTGTTATGGTTGTGGTTCTGGTTGTGGTTCTGGTTGTGGTTCTGGTTGTGGTTCTGGTTGTGGTTCTGCTTGTGGTTCTGCTTGTGGTTCTGCTTGTGGTTCTGCTTGTGGTTCTGCTTGTGGTTGTAGTTGTGGTTCTGGTTGTGGTTCTGGTTTTGGTTTTTCTGGTTTTGGTTGTGGTTGTTGTTGTTGTGGTTGTCGTTGTCGTTGTCATTGTCGTTGTCGTTGTCGTTGTCGTTATCGTTGTCGTTGTTGTTGTTGTTGCTTCTGCTGTTGTTGTTGCTTCTGCTGTTGTTGTTGCTTCTGCTGTTGTTGTTGTTGTTGTTATCACTTTTATCATTGCCAAATATCAATTCAGGACATCTTGATGATGAAAATGGAGGTGTTATGAGGTGGTCGAGGCGATTCTGTGGTAAATGCATCAATCCTGAGAATCATCTATCCCAAGGACATTCCGATACATGGGGATATCTGATGATGGGCTATCCCCCCCCAAAAAAATGATGACTGATCATGAATTTCAGAATTTGTTCCTATGATTGATGGTCGTTTTATGTCTTAATCCTGAATTTTCAGACAGCGCTCTGATAGTGTCTCAGCAGGTGCTCATCTTGAAGACCTCAGCTGCTTGGCTCATTGCTGACAACTGGAATCGGCTAGGAAAAATATGTCTATACATGTCTCATTCTATAAAACTATATATATATATATATATGTGTGTTTAATCGTATTTGTGTATGTATTTATATATTAAGTATATATATATATAAATATATGGATGTGGCAGGCGCAAACCTGCCACAGGTCAAGCAATCCATTCTTAGACTGCCAGATGGAAGCAGCCAAGCACATCCCTACCATCACACAACAAAGTAGGTAGCAGCTGTAAGTGCTGCAGGCACAGACTTGCCAACACAATCACAGGGCTTGGGCATAGTAAACTTATTCTTGCATGTATGCACTCATGTATGTATGTGCGCTCATGTATGTGCGTACAAATGTAAAATCAATTAAAATCATATATATATATATATATGCTACCCCCCCATATATAGCAAAACGTATGGATCAGAGGTATGGAGCAAAGGTATGGAACGGATCCAAACAGGTATGGAACGGAGGTATGGAACGGGGGTATGGAACGGGTGTGGTCCCGGACCTTGTTCCGGACCCTATAGTTTGACTTGCACCCATAAATATATATATATATTATGTGAATATATATATATATATAATGTATACAGTATTGCAAATGACTATACATGTATATGATTTATAAGTAATATATATATAATGTATAAAGGCAATACAAAAGTGACAAAGTCTCTTCGCAACACGGGCAACAATGGGGGGTCATTCTGTTTCATGTGCGTTTTCAACTGAGACCAAAGACCCACTTGGATCTCCATCGGTAGGAAGTAGGAAAGGCAGGAAACGTATGCCTGGCCACAAGGAATCTCCTGGTTGCAAATGGTTGCCTATGAAAATCCAATGGGCTTCTTTGTCATTGATTGCACAGTTCTATAGTATAAAATCATATAATATCTATTTATCCAAACACGTATGTTGAATTGAAAGACTAGTCTACATAAACACATGGATTCAGACACGACATGAGACCGTTCCAGGCACATACAATTGTGGGCCCCAACTACAACAACAGCGATCAAGGAAAATATGTGCCATGCAGCTTATTGCAACTCACCTACTCTCAATATCACCATCCTTTGCCTGAAAATCCAACAAACAATAGATATATACTCATATATACTCATATATATATATGTATAATTACTTATATATATATATGTATATATAGATATACACATAATTCCTATACTTACTTTACTAATTACTCATCTTTACTATACGTATAAAATTGCTTTACCAACCATCATCCAGTGGATTGACCCAAAAACAACGCCGGCGGCACCGGCATCTGGCTCATGGACTCCTTCAGCGCGCGCAAGACGTTGAGACGACTCAAAACTTGCGGCTGGGTGTAGGCGTAGACCTGAGGACCAGCAGACGGCCATGGGGCAACAGACCTCCACATCTTGGGAACCTCTATGAAATGGGTAAACACGTAGACATACAATTCATAATGTAGACATAGCGAATATATTTTAGTATTGTAACATAGTTTAAATCACTAGTATCAAAGTGGTATGACCATTTCCCGACATGGGAACATAGCCATTTGAACATGGCAAAGATGGCATGACGTGCAAAGCACTGCAGAATTCGGTGATTAACTTTCATAGTGTAGGGATAAGCCTGGCTGTAACAAGTGTAATCCCTTCCCCCGTTCATTTGGTCAACAGCCCCGAGGCACGAAACCCATGGTTTTTTCTTGGGGAATTTCCACATTCCATTGGGACCATGGATGCCATGGAAATGGGGTGCTGAAATTGCCAGGTTGATGGGATTAGTTACCCCTTTGGCTCATCTAATTTCCCTGCAATTGTTTTTCTTTGGGGTAAAAAATCTTGCAGGAACAGGCCATCTTGTGGCATGTAAAACCTTAGTTTCCTATTTACTAGAAAAAAAACACATCACAATTCGCCGTTTATTGTTGGAACAGTGTTTATAATGTTTCATAATGTTTCACAATGTTTCATCATGTTTCCTGGTGATATTTTTCCCTCAACCCATTGACTCACCATCTGGGTCTCCCTGCCACTTCGCAAAGAGGCTCGCGCTTGCCAGGGCATTCCACCAGGAGAGGAGCCAACGACGGCAACATGCCATCAATCTCGGCCCCATGGGAAGAAAAAAATGGATCCAACATCACACGTAGCGTACATTGATCTGTTTGAATCATGAATCACAATTCATATGCGAACAAACATCATAAGATACTGTATATGTATCTGTATATAATCATATCTTATAACATACGAACCCAGTACAAATACATACAAGCCTACGACGCAAATCATCCATTGGTTTTGACGTTTGACAATGGTCAGGCATCCTGGCCAGCAACTGCTGTGTCAACGGCGCATCCTCCTGTGCCGCGGTCATGGATTCCAAAGGCTGCAGAAGGACAGGGAAAATCATCAAACGAATAATTTCATGATTGGAACGATGATTTATTTATCCCATCCATTGGCTATTCCAATCATGAATGATTTATTTATCCCATCATGAGGGAATATTCCAATCATGAATGATATGCGTTAGGTATATTTAGAGGGAATGGATGGGAATGGCCACGACCTTCTGACTGTTGACGGTCCAACTGGCGTTTCAGATTGCATTCGCAGTGTTGCCAGAACCAGAAAATCTTCAAGGCCAGAGTGAAAAGGACCGGATGCATTGGAGCTTCCCAGGTCGTACTGGATTTTATGGTGCTTATCCCATGCCCTTGCCCTTGACATGTTGGAAAAATCCTTGAGATGCTCGGTAATTTAAAGTCACAACAGTCAATGCCCATAGCATGGCACATTCAACGGACCGACAAGTCTTACTTTAAAAGCAAAAGCGATAGTCTGAATTGTTCGTGCATCAAATGACTAACCCAACTTGGAGGATCATACCACTGAGCAATCATATGTGCCCGATTCCTGCGCATCCCATTTACAGGCTAGAAAAATAACCCACAAAGAACAAGTTATAATTCGTAGGACGTAGGATGATCGTGAAGCGCACCAGGCCTTGCTCATCAGCTGTCCCAAGGTCTTGAAGAAGCTGACGATGCTCTCGAAGACCGGATCTTGGCAGGCTGATGTGCAGTCGTCTGGCTTTGGGGGCATATAAAGTCGTAGTGTATACCAAATATACCAAAACAGTAGTAGTAGGTATTTGCAGCAGTACCAAAATCATCCAAATCTGCTCTTTCAATAGCCTTAAATCTCAACCCATGAGCACAGAATGACAAGCATTTGCATCACATGCTTCAAAATTACAAGATGGCAACTAGCAGTAACTACAGTAGCACAGACCAACACAGTAATGGTAAAGGATTCTTGAAACATTGAAGGACGGACGTTGGCAACGGTGAACATGACACCATCTTGGAGGTTAGGACAAATTCTGCACAATACATCTGAATCCCCAAAGGTGACATGGTTAAATTATTAAAGCTTCAAGAGTTCAAGAAGATTAGTTCCATATGTTTTCCTATGTTTTCCTATTAAGGATTAACTAACACTGTCACAAAAGTGTCGTTGCTCTGTTGTTTCACTCATCTTTTTGGACCTTCCAAAGGGCCCCCCAAAAAAAATTGGGGCGCCCCGACTGCGTTCACTAAACTCCACCAAGGCCGGACATAGCAACTTCTAAACCTCGCAACAATATGGGCCCAAAGTGTGGAAAGTCAGGGAATCGGTGATGTAGAATGAGGATATCGAAATGTTATCCAGAATGGCTATATCCTAATGTTGAGCAGGATGACATAAAAAAACTATGGGGTTGCTCGAATGAGGATAGAAATCGAAACAACAAATTGGCTATATCCTAATGTTATCCATCCCTATTTGGCCCGAATGCATCCTGTACTATCCTGTAACAAACTACCAATATAAAACTACTAGAACTGGGGAACACATGGAAACACCCAGAAAACAAGAAAAAAACGATGTCTTCATACAAACATCTCTATAGTATACAGAGAAACGATAGATCTTCACGGATTTCTCCCTTCCGGGCGAGAGCGCCGGGCCAAGCAACTCTCCAAAACTCTGCTGGCGACTTCATCACACCATCAATCAGCAGGTGGGCCTGTACGACGAATGATCATGAAATCATGATAATGGTATATAATGGATTATAAAAGTATATATATATATAATATATCACATTATATTATGGTATATTACACCATTATAGTCATGATAGAATTTTGTGGGATGCCAAGTTTGATTCATTGATAGTGGATTTAATGGGGGTATATACTGGATGTCTGTTGGCCAGCTCGATCCGCTAAGAATATTCTTCTCTTGTAGAAACTAAAGGGTGACAAGGAAGCACCTGATCAAAAGCGGCAGGTGCTGGTCAAACATCCAAGAATGAACACCAAATCCAATAAGTCACAAACAGCAAAGCTATAGACTGTGATGATTGTCTTTCATTCACCCCACATCACCCAAGATCAACCGATATATATGAGCTACCTCCAAAACTCTATTGCCCCAAAATGGAATAAATATCTATTTTGCCTTCGTTTTAAAGGGTCACCTTCGTTTTACAAGGGTTTCGACCAAACCTTCACAGATATACGTGCGATATCGCGCAGTCATCATTTCGAGCTAATGGCAGCAGCAATGGCAAAAGTTATAAAAAACAGTGCCAGGATGTGCTAGGATTAGTACTGTGACTCGTAGAAGCGACAAAGGTGCTAGAAGAAGCAACAGTGGCAGCGCAAGCAGCAGGAGCAGGAGCAGTAGCAGTAGCACTGGAGTAGCAGTAGCATAGCAGTGGCAGTAGCAGCAGCAGTAGCAGCAGCAGTAGCAGTAGCAGTGGCAGCAGCAAGTGACAGCAGTGACAGCAGCGACAGCAGCGACAGCAATGACAGCAGTCACAGCAAGTCACAGCAAGTCACAGCAGCAGCTACCAGCACCAGCACCAGCACCAGCACCAGCAGCATCAGCATCAGCATCAGCAGCAGCTGCATCAGCAGCAGCAGTAATCGCGGTGATGCCGGCGCTGTTGGTGCTTTGCTGGTGCTGGTAAGACAAATGCCTGCAGCAAAAGCACAACTAGGCCCCGCAGTGGCAATGGTAGTGGTTGCAGTAGTAGCAGGATGGGGAAGAAGGTTTGCCTGCTCCTGGCCAAGTTCATGCCAAGCTGCTTGTCGTGAACTTTGCCTTCGTTTTTGCCTTCGTTTTGGCTTCGTTCCAGAACGCAAAACCAGACGGGAAAACGAAACCGCCGGATAAAAAGAATACGTGCAGGCGGAAAGCAGAAACTTGACAAAATGTAAATGCAGCAGGAGGAAAAACAAGATAGGAAAAAAACAAACGGGAACAACAGAAAGAAACGAAGGCGGAAAGGAAGCCAACAGAAACTGTCACAGGAAAGGCATGAACACAAGAAAGGATACAAAAGGAAGACAAGGGAAAACAGGTAAAAACCAAACGACAACAACTCCATGATACACCATTCTTGACGTTCGCTTCTCAAATGGAAATCTATCAACAAACATTAGTTGTAAGGTTTGCCTTCGTTTTAAAGGGTCACCTTCGTTTTTGCAGGTTTTGAGCTATATTCCATTCCAATACATATCCCTTACATAGACCTTTTTGGTGGTAGCCCATATATATATATATATATATAGGTTTCCTAAAATAGGGTAGTTACCCTATAGCTATCATCCAGTCGTGATTTTCAGAGCTGGGGGATCCCATGGCGCCTGTGCGGTGATGGCCTGAAAGACCCTCACACAGGTGGGTTGCGGCACATGAGTGCGACAGAGCTCCTGAGTGGCGGCGGCTGGCCGTCACAGGCCAGATTGACATGAGAAAATAATGGAAAAACCATGAAAAAACAGTAAGAAAAAACAGTTATCAACGAAATCTCAACCCAAATCAGCCGAAAAATCCACATAAAAAAAACTCAAATAAACACCAGCCGCGGTCTGAAAGTTCTTCGCACTACCTTCTGGCAATCAAACATCGCAATGACCAATCCATCATTTAGATTCATTTAGTTTTCCCATTCAAGTTCATTCAAGTCATTCAAACCTCCATGAAAAGTTCGTCCGAATTCCCAGCACCCCGCCAGCGCTTTTCGGGGGTAACTTCCCCCTGACCACTGTGATCCAAAGGGCCATGAAGGAGACCACCACGTCTTTTCTGGGGTCCAAGGACTTCATCACCTGGAAGATCATCCCACGAAAAAACTGTGTTTTTTTTTAGCGTCACTAGACTTAGTAAGTCCCCGATTCCTGGAGTTCTCCCATATAAAACTGGCTTATAATCATTGTGGCTATTAACTAGCTATGATTCATGGGATGATCCTCTATACCCCACAGCGATGGCAATTTCAATAAGCAATATGATGCTTATTGCAAGCTAAACATAGCTAAACTACTAAAACATCGGATTTTTGGGGTAAAAGAAACGATTTGATTTGCTCATTATGAGCTTGGGAAGTGTCGGAAAACTCTTAGTAGCTCACTGAATTCTCCATGGCTCATAGGGAATTTTAGCTCCCTCCTAATGACTGGATAGTTTGGCAAATTGATGTTGAACCATTCCCCTTCATAGATGCACTACATTGCAGGACGCTGCTAAGAACATCGAAGATCCTGCGTTTCTATCACGTTTCTGGAGGTTGGATCCCATAAGTTTAATTGACAGATATCCACCCTACAAAGGTTGGGATTTCCCCTCTGTAATTTCAGTAGGTACAGTAGGTACATGACCAGAAATATCTCTGTGGTTCCTTTGGTAGCCTCTTCTACATCTATATAGCCTATATAATACCTATATCAATGTATATTATATAGGTATTATATAGGTATTATATAGGTATTATATAGGTATTATATAGGTATTATATAGGTATTATATAGCTATTATATAGGTATTATATAGGTATTATATTGGCTATATCATATATATATATGTATATCAATTCTATATTCTTTATTGTATTATAGCCTTGTCCAAATTGAACAAAATCGGCTAACGACAAGCCTGGTCGTTTTCCTGCAGGACTCCTGACACGATGGGTCTCATCACATCGACCTCAGCGTGCTGACTTGGGCCATTGCCCAATTGGGATCCCAGTGATGCCACCTTTCTGAACTTGGATCATTCGGTTTAAGGGAAAACTGGAACCGGAAACCCCCATATTTAATGGTAAAAAAACAATAAAAAGCATGGGTTCCTGTAGATTGTCCCTTAAACCAATCCAATGATGACAGGATCACCTGCTCAATCTCTACTATAGATGGCCAACTGCCACCAAAAATGCATCATGATCCTCATTGATAAAGATCCCAAAGCGCCCAGCAGCTACATGTTTTTCAAAAAACATCCACCACCAAGCACCAATCGGAAAAAAACATAGAAGATATCCATAGAAATCCCGCCTTTTATAGATGTAATGATCTATCCCCATCCCTTTTTCTCCTCGTTCGGATCTGCGCTCCCGCACCACCGGTTTGCCCCCAACAAAGCCGATGCCACCAGGGCTGGTCTGTCCTGCATCCACCTGTCCGGTGGACCTGCCACGACGGATTCCGGTGGATGGATGGCAAATATGACTTACAAAATGATGGAATAAGTTGATACTAATCCAAATTTTAAGTTAATGATGGTTAATGATGGTTAATATATGGTTAATATATGGTTGATGATGGTGATACTATAAACATTTATGATTATCATAGGATATATCTTTGATCATCATATATCATCATAATAATGGAAATATATATATATATATTGGACTTATGATGGATAGCTGGTTGGTGGTTTCAACCATCTTGACAAATATTTGTCAATGGGAATGATTATCCCATATATTATGGAACAAATGTTTGAAACCACCAACCAGTATTAGTTCTATGGGTATGATTTCATGATACTATAGTTGATATCATCATAGCATTATGCTATTGAATAATAACGTATTTGTTTTAGTGTTAATTGTTGATAATGATAATTTTAATGATACTTATGATAGATAATATGCACAATAATCATAGTGTGTTAATAAGATCATAACTGAATGAATAAACTAAATTATGATAATTGAACAATGGTATAGATGATATTTTCCGTCATGATGGTATGAATGAATGGATGATGAATCAACTACTCCATGATGATATTTTGGTGAACTGACTAATATTGACTGGAGTATCAACTACTCAATGAACTGAACCATAGTGGAATACTGCGTAAATTGATGGATGATGATGATTTGATATCCATTGGATTGTGGATATCATATCAATATATATATATATATATACATATTATCAATGATACCGCGATCTTGAACGATTATTGCCAGGTGATGCCAGGTGTGCCCAAAGTATGAATAGTCTTTGCGACCGAAGACATGCCATGGTCATTTTGTGTTTGGACCCAAGGTTAAGATGATCCGCAGAACCTCAACACAGGCATCATTCTCATATCTAAACCAATATAGCCATTGAACATGGCCATGTTTAATAGCTACCATCTGGTTATTTGACATAGCCATGGAACATCACCATGCTATTAATGGGTAAATCAACGATTTCTATGGCCATCTATACCATGGCTATAACTTTTATATAGTTTACCAGAGGCTAAATCATCGTCCACCAGAATCCATCAGGTAATTGTTGGCCAGGCCCAAGATGGCCAAGCGCCAAGCGAGACACTTTCGTTGACTCGTTGAGGTGGTGTTGCGGCTCTTTTGCAACGCCTGCACCTGTCACAAATGGAACAGTGGCGGGTGATGGTGGGATATGTTGAAACATATATATAACATATATATATATTATACATATATATATATATACATTATTATTTCTATGCATTCATGGTGGAATTATATAAGAGATACATATTTATGGTACAACTTGTAAACATATCAACCATCCTAAGGTATCAAGCCTTTTTGGATGAGTGAGACCGTCGCCTGCTGCGCTTGTTGCACTCTCATTTGCGCCACATTGCGGTTTAGAGATCGAGCAGAAACCTCTGGGATCTCGAGAGGTACCTGGCAGTTGGCAGTTGAAGTTGGATATTCCGAACAATCATGGGGGTGGAATAGGGGATATAATATAGGGATACATAGGGTATGTATAAGTAAGCAACTAACCAAACATGTGATATTTTGGGTGTGTCTGAAAATGAAATGCAGGATTTTGCAATGAGAAATTTGTGATCAATCAGCTGGGATTGTTGGGATCGTATGTTCCAACTTTTCAGGCAACCCGCATGTTGGATGCCATCTTCTGTCATTGGTCCATGGCTGGATTTGAAGAGGCTAGGCAGGTGACTGAAATCACTTTCTCATGCTTTGTCATGAGCTAACTCGTTGGGATTTGACTTGAGATATCAATGGATTTTACCCGGAGGTTGTGTTTAAGTCAAATCTCAACGACTACTATACAATATGACTTCAGCTGCATATCAGTATATCCACTGTTTGAGACAGCAAGCTTGACCAAACAACGGGAAAGCTTGACCCCTGTCCTGGAGGGATCCCCTCGACATATGGTGGGAAATCGTAGAATCTCAGGTGATCCAGGTCGAAACTGTCCAGGTTTCTGTGTTTGGGGTAGCCTCTGGTAAAAAGCTCACAGTTTGCTATGGAAACTCACCATGTTCTTAGGTAAATCACGGATAAAACCAACGATACATGGACCATTTGCACTAGCAAACTGCGAAATTACCAGAGGGTATATCTTATGGTTATTTTATCATGGCCAAAGTAAAGCATATCAGCATATATCAGCCATATCATCATATAATTACGGTTAAACATGGTAAAACCATGTCATGGTCCATATGGTTACCAACCATGACTGGGAATGCTATGTCCCACTATGTCCCACTTATAAAAATGATGATGATGATGATGATGATGTGTCCCACTTTATAAATACTTCTAAAAATGCTGATGATGATGACCCGGGGATGGTGGACTCATGGTGGTTTACCCACCATGGCTATCAGGCGATCAATGGCCCGGCGCACGGCTTCACCCCGCTGCGCCACGGCTTTGGGGACGGAGCGCTCGGCCAGTTTGTGCTGCCGCGCTGCCTGACGCCACGGTAGGTGCCTTAAAACATGCGGTAAATTGGGGTCAAAAACCCTAGGTACCCTAGAAAACAGCACCATATTGTTTCTAGGGTACCCCTATAATTGTACCATATGGGTATCAATTACCCTAGGTACCATATTGGTTAATTGATGTTTCTTCCCCCAATATGGTAATATTGATGTTCACAATATGGGGTTCTCTGAAAATATGGTACCTCTAAATGCACTGGTGAACCATCATTGCTCCTATTGAATAATTAATATTTGTTTATGGCTACATCGACCCAGGTCAATTCCCCATTTAAATGGATGATTTATGGTACTTTATGGTACTAATGATGATTTAGTGGATCAAATATATATAATGGTATCAATAGCCTCCAGTAAAATCACAGCTTAACCCTCCCATGAGATGGGGGTTGGAAGATTAGTTTCCACTTGCTTTGGGGGAGGGTATATGGTACCATTTATCGAGCCACTCAAAGGTATGTTGAAATAAACACAAAAAAATCATATAGTGAGTTTTTGGTGTACCACCTATAAAAAATATAGGTTTTATAATGGTTTTATTGCTATTCAAAGTGAACCTTGTAATTGTATTGTACCATACTGTACTAATGATGGATCCCTCAGAAGTCGCTTTTTTGTGATACGAACGGAGGCTCAGATGGCACCAGAGTTGCTTCCTGTAAAAATCCATCAGTTATGGCCATTTATTAGTTATAACTGGTTATAAAGTTATAAATGGGATTATACATCATTGTACATTCTATAAATAAATGGTGTTATAAGTACTTATAACTGGTAAAGGGCCATAACTGCAGGTATATTGATTAGTTAAGCAACTTCAGTTGACCAAACTTTCGGAATTTATTTGGATCTCTTTGAAGATCCTGGGAGATTTTTTTTCAAACTGCATTTTGGTGATTCCCAGAAGCATCGAGGTGTGCTCGCCTGAAAGATCTGGTAAGCATCTTGGCGTCCATGATGGTCGTCCCTTTGTTCAATGACCTTGACAGCGTGATGTTCCAAACGGGAAAGAGGTGAATTACCATAGCGCTGATGGAAGGTATACAAGTCGATGATTCAATGATGGTTTCAACCCATGAGAAATGAGCATTAGGGATATTATATATTATATGGATATGGGAAAATTATAACATTACATATTTCACTAACCTGGAATAAGGCTATCTTGGGGATGATGTCCCTAACAATGATTCCAGGGTTCGGGAGAACAGTGAGTTGTCGTTTCTTGATTTACTCAGATATACCCTCTGGCAAACAAACAACAAACTATGGAACATCACCATTTTTCATTGGTAAATCAACGAACTGAATGGCCATGTTCAATAGCAATGTTAGTCATTACCAGAGGGTACAGTATAAGGTCTACGATAGCCGATAGCCCCCGCTATTGGAAAGTCACACATATCCATCGCCTACAGGATGAGGCACCCGGTCGATAGCCTTCAGTTGCCTAAAAAAAGTGGCTGATGTTTCTATGTTTTATGGGAGATATAACGAACTATAGTTCATGGGGTTTATAAACCAACAACTTATAACGGGGGGCCACCATCCTGTATATCATAATATATTGATTATCAATGGGGGCGGCGTCCATTTGCTGATTCACTGCCAGTTCTTGACCATTTTCTTTTTGGAATTTCTTGGGTTCCTAGTGGCAGAAGATGTGGCTATGACATGCTATCATACAGCCTTACCAGTGTCGTGGCAGAGATTATCACAGGTAATCTAACCTGGAAATGGAATATCAAGCAAACATACATATTTACATATGATCATTATATATCATTATATTATTTTACATACATACCGTGGATGGAAGTTGCGAAATCCTGCACCAGTTGATAGATGGTTTAGTTTATCAATGATTATCCCATGATTGTCCATGTTTATCCAATGTTTATCCATGTTTATCCCATGTTTATCCATGTTTATCCCATGATTATCCATGTTTATCCCATGTTTATCCATGTTTATCCATGATTATCCATGATTATCCCTGTTTATCCCATGTTTATCCCATGTTTATTCATGTTTATCCCATGATTATCCATGTTTATCCATGTTTATCCATGTTTATCCCATGATTTCTATAGGTTTTCAACATCTTTCAACCATCCTTTCACGGTGGATCTCTCCGGTCGGGTTTTTCGATCCCACCTCTGGAGGGCTCGCAGCGTCCAGCAAGGTCTCGGCTCCCTCGGCAGGATGATCTGCGGAATTTCCATGTAAAGCATGGCAAATTACCAATAAATCCAATAAAACATAGTAAAACATAGTAAAACATGAATCAGACATTTTTGCATATTTTTAGAAATGGGTTTTGAATGGCTTTGAAAAGAATAGCCCAGAGGGCCCCATGATGGGTGCAATGGGTCATCCACCGCCCTGCCAGGCTCTGCCTTCTTGCTCATTCCACTGCCTTCTTCTGGCAAATCCTGTGCAACGAAGGGCGGAGTTCGTTCTCGGTGTGCTGATGTGGCTTCACTGGGATGATACCAGGGGCAACACAAAGTCAATTGCAGCACAAATGGTTCTGCAAGATTGCAATCGACATGGTGGCCAGTGGTTCATGCCCACCAAAGCAAACAAGTACATTGGCTCCTGGTTGGTGTGTTGTGAACCTATTGCTGAGCGGCAAATAGCAGATGTAATTTAATTCTGTACAGAGGCATGTCTCATGTCTGCATACAGCTTCGCATTGAAGCCCTAGCAGTGTCCATTACTTTCCCAGGAATCCCCAGGAAATTGCAGGAATACAAAACAAAGGTGGACCCTGCGCAAGTTCCATTGACCGAAGGATGCTGACTATGGCTCAAGAGACCATGGAGAATCTATTTACCCTCTGGTAAACCAACATAACTATGGAAAATCACCATTTTCAATGGGTAAATCCACTATTTCAATGGCAATTTTCAATAGCAAACTGTTAGTCACCAGAGGGTAACTTTCAATTCAAAAAATTACCATGAGAGAGTCATCACCGGTTTCATGCACCTCCACCAGGAAGATGGGGACAGTGCGGTTGGTCAGCAAGGTATATATCCTGACAGCGGATTCACGTGGAAAATCACGTGGAAAGTAACCGACCAATAGATGTCACCTTGTTGCGGCAATGCCTTGCTGCATTTATCATCCCAAAAAGGATGTGAGTCTTTGAAAGCTTCCGAATAAACAGCTTTGGAAGAAGCACGAGAAAGGTCAACTTGCGATGACAAACCTGCGCTAGGAACATTGCGATGAAAAAAGGGAGGCCAAAAGTCTGCAAGATTCTGGCGAGTTGTCTTTTGTGACAACCCTTAAATATTCTATATATTCTATGTTGAGGATAATTTACCCTAGTACTTCAGCCGCTATCTATAGTGATGTGGTTTGGAAGTTGGTGTAATTTGTCCAGACTACTTGAGATTCCGCACTTTACAACGATTGGTTTAGAATGTGATTTCAAAACACAAAAAAAGATCGAACTAAAAATTCAGAATGTCATTCTGTGAGGATCCTAAATTGGGATCATGGAACACACGGCCCCACGGAATACTGCCATGGCCCGCACCTGATGAGCAGTGCAATGGCAGCACCGTTTTGGCTCTCCATCACAGGCTCGAAATCCACCTGGCTGGATGAAACCTGCTGAAACCTTGCGCGATATGGTGCATGATCTTGTATATTGAATCGCTTTCTGTGACCGGACAGCTACATCACGTTTTGAGAATAGATGAGACTAGGTAAGCTTAGATGAAGTGAGTATCCGCCGACCCCGGCAGACGCAAGGGGGAGCGCGCCAGGGAATCTGATAGTATCTTCCACTGTGGCCTGTCGTAAAATGGGGATGGGTCAAAACCCTGGTACCTAGTGAACCCCAAAATAGCTGGTAAATGGATGTTCATCCCACTAAAAATGTATCTATAGGTATTGACCCATACCGTACCCAAATAATAGGGAGAAATGTGGTATACCCCAGTTATAGCCATCTAATGATAGCCATCTAATGGGGATAATGACGATGAACTCCATGGATTTTGTGGAGGGGTACCCCAAGACCCATCGACAGATCCAGGACATGTTCCGGTTTCGCTCCGATGGTTTGGCCCCCGCACGCGGGAAATCGGATAGTGGTGCTTGCGGAAGAACCTTCGCTGATTTGTGGAGTGATTGAAAAATTCTATGTAGGCTATGCATTGCTATAATATCAATGCTCTACTGAAGTATTTCGGTGCAGTTGGAAATTTGCTGATGTCGACATCGCATCTCACAAGCCATTCCGGCCGTTTCCGCAAAGAGTGAGTGTCAAACAAGCCGGTTTCGTGGCAAGCTTAACCAATATTCCCATACATTCCCATACGGCCCATACGTCCATCTTGAACAGATTTCAAGACCTTGGACCAACCATCACCATCTTGCTCCACGGCCTGAAGAGCTGTTCCCAGTTGTCATTTTTCGTGGTGGACTTGAGGCCATTGTCGAAGGTGTGCATGCTAATGTCCTGACAAAAATGCCAAGCCCCAATCCAAAACGCCCCATCGAATATTCCATGTTAATTAATCAATGTCAAACAAGCCCTCCTTGGAATTCTCAACAGAATTTAATAAACATAATATAACATATAATATATGGTTAGTGCTTAAGATTCTACATGTTTCTCCCTAACATAAACCTTTAAGTTGTTGTCAGTGTCAGTGGTGTCACCCAACTGGGGGAGGTTGTTTGAAATCCGGTCGCCAAATCTTGGGAGAAACGGTGCCATTGACGTGAGTAAAATGTTTCAAACAAATAACATGATAAATCATATGATAATATATAACTGTTCTATCTACTATGTGTGATTGGTGAATAAACCATTAATAATAATAACTATTCGATCTTTTCTGGATTACGGTACATTAGTACAGTTGGTACAGTTATTCGGCACTCTCCAAGGACACAATATGTGTAATTAGAATACAATGCCATTGCCTGCAGCACGATCAGCACAGCAACCAATTGTCACTCTTCAGACGCACCGTTCATCGGCCATCAATTGCCCGCTGAGCCACTTGTCACAACTATTCTGTATACCATTTTACATGTCCAGATATAAATCTGTGCCCTATTCACTTGTTTTGGGCCAGCCCACCCCCCAATAAACGGCATCCGGCGGATATCCTGCATGTGGTACCTTGAAAAGATCTCAGCGATCAGGAAACCATTCGCAAAGTCCCGCTTCACATTTCGCACACTGCGCGTCACGCGCAAACCGTTGGATCAGTGTCTCCACTTGGCTAAATTCTGGAGGATCAACCAATGGATAGTGGATTGGCATTCACCCACGCTTAGACTTCATATATATCATGCGTGGCCGTTTCAGGTAAATTTACAGTCCCCAGCCGCAAGAAACTCCCCATAGTACATCTTTAGGCAAAGGGATCAGTCTCACTCCGAGTGATCTCTACTCTTCCCCCTCTTCTAGATCAGCCAACAAACATACCACCTAGGCACTAACTTGGTGCAAAATTCCTTTGCCAATCAAAGGATTCTTGTGGAGACTGATAGTGGTGGGGATCCCTGCAGGGGTGGATTTGACTCTAAGAAAGTCATGAAGTTGGTCCGTCCAGATCGGTCAGATCATGTTTCACTCTGAATTCATCCATGTATCGAAATAAGGATGATGGAAACATCCCTTTTGCCTCAGTGATGCACATTGCCTGATGAAACAAAGAAGTTATATATGTGGCCTGAAATAAGAGCCTCACTACCAAACAACACCTGCAAAATGCGGGGGCCTGTAGGACAAGTCCAAGCTTTGCAACCATTTCCTTTGTTGCAAATCAAAGCAACACCGTATGATTGAATAGAACATGACAGCCCTGTCTGCCAGGTCATGTGCTACCGAACTTGTTGCCCTGAGTGGCTAAAACATGTTCAGCAACCAAGCACGAATAGATCATCTCCGGTTAAGGATTCAACATGATTCAAGCTACATGTTGATGCTGCTGTTCCCTCCAAACTTCAAAATCTCCTTGGACCACCGTTTCAGCTTCCAAGTTGCAAAACTTCCCGAGGAAGCGATGATAGTGCCTCAGCCATCTGAGATCATCTGAGTCTGTGGCGATTGGATGACCAATCCGAATGAGACAATCAGTTGAGCGTTCAAAATCCCGGCATTCCATTGTACTGCTTGGTTTATAGGGATTCCCCGTTCTTGGATTATGACATAATTATAAATCGATATAAATTGTAGTAATAGTATAATCCCCGAACTAATCATCAACCAGGGTTTAGCAGCCACTGCCCAGTTGTTTGTTTCATGACAGCCATAACAACAATCCCGATCTGAGTCTACTCGCAGCCGCCGATGGCTCCACTGTTGCTGGGCTCGTGCCCACCGTCTAGGCAAAGCGTTGCGTTGCGCAAAGCGCAACAGCAGGGGAATGTCTCAAGAAATCCAAGCCATTCATCCAAATTTCAAGGGATATAATGGACTATACTTGGTGGCTCATCCCACTTAGTAAGTGGGTTAGTTCACCCCAGTTATAAGTGGATTAACCCTACAAAAATCCCATTTATAACTGGGGTTATAACCCACTTACTAAGTGGGATGAGCCACCAAGTAGCCAAAATATATACCAAGGGGATACAATGGGTGTGTCTTCAAATCGAGGATACACATGGATACGACCATTTTCTTCAGTTTCGCTGCACTGGGAAAACGATGATATTCCATTGGATTTGGGGCTATAGCCCTTTTTGGACAAACATGACAGGATGCCAAACAGCGATACACGAAAGCTAACACGAGATATCAACAACACGTTGTGTTTGAGAAAAATGATGCGATATTGATATTGTGTGGCTCCATCTTCTAATCAGGGATGAAGAATTTGGAAATGCAGAGCCCAACTTTTCAACGAATGAGTAGTCTAACTTTCTTGAGGAAGTGCTTTGCACTTGAAGCGCTTGGACATGAGTAATGGTCTTGGTGGCCCATCTCCATCTGACCTGCTAAAAGCTGAGACCCAAACCATGGTCCTCAAGGATTGCACCAATGCTGGCCAGTAAGCGTTTCAAACTGCTGCTGCGATTCAAATCTGGGTCGGGAAGGGTAGTAGAGTCGATGTTTCCCCCGCATTCTTTGTGAAACCTTCTGAACAATTTGTTTTAACGGGCTGCTGGACGTAAGTGGCTGAAAGTGAGATATCCACTGCAGCAAATGCTGAATGCAGTTTGGCTGCTCTGTCAAGCCTTTTTCCATGTAACGGCTTGAACCATCCACTACTACACACAAAGCCCTGGCTTACATCAGGACTGTTGAAATCTCGGACCGTTCAGAAAAGAAAGAGCTGGAAAAACGAACCAAAGTATTGCCTACACAGGTTGCAACGCTTTCATGCCCAAACATGCCCAATATCACCCCAATCTCGGGAATCAGCAGCTGTAAGGGGCACAAGAGAAAGGTGGCATTAATCAGCATGCCAGCAAGCAACCAACAGGTCTATTGCCAAATACATCCAAACACCATCTGGATTTCTCACTCACAAAAGCTCGATGCGCGTGTCAAAATTCCTACACTCCTGTCGGATTCTATCCTGACAATATATATATATATACATATATATATATATATCCTGTCTTCCAACTGCAATCAGTACATATCCTTAAAAGCTTGCGAATAGATCGGATTCACTCTGTGGAGTACGGCTGTGGGCTGTGACAAATTGCTCTCCAGTTGGGTACAGCATGGCTCAAACATGAACACCCCTAAAGCCTTAAACGTGAGCGATTTCTTCACGGGTCCCGGGCCTGAAAGATCGCCTTGACCCTCAACATCTGCAAAAGGCCGCCCAGCGTTTTCAGAAATCCAAGCCAACTGTACAGCGGAGGAAACCACGTGAGTGTCAGCAATTAATCACCATACCACCACATCTTTCGCCACTCTTTTATTTGAAGTTCGTGGAAGCTCGTCTTGTTGAGTGCGCCAATCAGGTCCTTCTTAACCTATTAATGACAATTCGATGCGAAAGTCCGTACTTACATGTAGCGGTTCTTTTTTGTGTGGGTAATATATTTGTCATGGTTCACAACTGAAGTACCTGGAATTACCATTCAATGAAACTTACTAAGTTGTCATTGTTTCAATCAAACCATCCAATGTTGGAGTCAACAATTTTGAGCTTGCTTTGGTCTTTATGGGCTACAGGGTATCCATGGTTTCGGATTGTTCCCACCTTCCGTAAAGGATCATTCACCATTAATGACTCGATCACTCTTAAAATCGTTACAATGGCAGTGGTTGTTGCTGAACCTGCTGAAAAGTTCCCTCGCATCGGCAGGAATCATTTCCGCGTTGTGACGCCACACGCACTCGTTCTCACGGGACAAGCTAGAGATCTATAGGGAGCGATCTAGCCCCCTTTCCGTATTTTCGAGGGTGTAACCCATCCAGCAATTGAAAACATGTCAACACGGCCGTGAAGTTCGATGATTTAAACTGCAAACAACTGAGGATTTCGCAGATGTTAAGTTACGCAGGGTGCATCCCAGGTGAAATATCACCAGCTGCCGCATCACGACCATCTCAAAACCTTGCTGCGCAATCATGCAAGATGGACATATTACCCTCGCACACATACAGTGTAATAATATGTGTATGTATGTATATATATATATAATTTGGCGCACACACACACAATATGATACAATATGTATATATATATGCATACTATACACTATAATATTACACACTATCATACAATATAGGAACCCCCCCCCAAAAAAGAAAGATAGTCCAATGTAAAGTACAGTTATTTTAATAATGTTTACCTTTTCTACCATTCTGCGGGTTGTTATGTGTGTAATACATGTATCATATCTATTCAATTCATGTCCAACCTGTGGATTTCAAGAGCACGCCTGTCCCCCAAAAAAACTGTAGCTGTAAAACTCTTCAATGGTTAGATGAAGTTAGGGAACTTCTAAGTCATTGACTGCTCTGCCTGAGACAAGTTTCTTACCCATTCCATGGCCAATTGCTACCAAATTTCAGTCACTATTCAGTCACTATTCAGTCACTATAACATGTCACTATAACATGTCACCATTGAGTATTTTGATACATCCCATCTGGCGGGCTTCAATCAATCGCATCGCATCGCGGAGTTGTCAACTGGAATGATCTTTCCAACAAATGAACACCGCATGGTTGCAGCTTTTCTGTTGCTAAGAAAATATAGAGAGCATCTTTTCCATACACTTGCCTCTGCAACTTTGTAACAAAGTGTTTTTCTTGTTGTGCTTTTTTGAACTGAAATGTCACTACTTTTGACGATCCATGAATCAATAGAATCAGATCCATGCCCAACTTGGAACAGCTAGTGGCTACTTAGGATTCATATTTTTCCGTATTTTTCCCCCCATTGGTAAACCATAGTACACCAAGGTAGTCACTAAGGGTGTGACCGGGTGGCCCTGGCGGCTCTCCCCTCAACCACTGGGGACCCCAACGGCTGGTTGCATAAGGGGCAGGTTGTCTTTGATGAGGTCCGGAACCACTGGTAGAGGCACCTCAGTGGCGCGAAAAGGGCAGCCATGGTTGCCATGGTTGCCATGGTTGGTCCGGAACCACCTGGTTTATCCACATTGTTTGGCAACCATATTCTGTAGCTATAGTATGCTATAGTGATCAAATATGACCAAATATATACAAATTGCAAACAAGAATATATATGTTATTACGAACCCCCAATGATCTCCACCTAACATAGATCCCGGAAAACAACCCAGATTTAGGAACAAGGGCGCATTGGCAAGTACTACCTGGCCAGCTCTGTTTGAGTCTCCGACTCGTTGTGGAACTTGTGCTTGCAGGTGGGACAGGCCTGCTGGAACAACGTTGGAAGTGGCTCGACTGTATCACAATCTCCCTGAAACATAGATAAATAGGGTATTTCATATGATATGTGATCTGATTGATAGATGATTCATGGATGTTTAGTATAGGTGGAAGGGTTTTAACCAGCCCAAACAGGTATTTGATAACAAATAAGGTCTTGTTTGCCAAACCGGATAGTAGAAAGTGAAACAGCCAGCCCCTGAAACCAACAAATACGACTCTGGCTCTGTCAATCTGGTTCATCTCGATGCACTTTGGCCGCCACTGAGCACTGCTACACTTTCGTCATAGTCCCAAAGTCGCACACAAATAATTATTCTCCTACATAAATCTATGATAAACTCTCTAGAGATCACAGAGTACAAAAACAATCAAAAACATGGCACGGAGTCGTAGGCCCCTGATAGGTGTTTGTGGGAAACAACATGTTTTTTTTCTCAATACTTCATCAGTTCAGTCCTCCCAACACGTTAAGACATCAGTGCAGCGGTTTAAAAAAAGGACCCGCACAGCCGTGACCGGCCGCGCCCCAGCGCCCTCCCGGCGGCCTTTCTTGGGATCGTCTGCGTGGTGAGTTGGATCACATTGTAACATATGGGGCAGTCCTGGCGGGGCCACTGGTGCCACTGGCAAGTTCCTACCTTGAAACAGCGCTGAACCAATCGACAATTCGGAGGACATAGAGGACATGGTGTTATTTGATGCTCCACATTTTTTTGCACAAGATCAACAACCAAAAACACCCAGGGTTGATCAGGGTTGCCTTTCCCCAATAAGGTTTTGATATGCGCGACATGTCACCAAAAAAGTCTCAACTCCAGACTGCCATGGCTGCCATGGTCCCTCCTCAACACCTTTGAAGAAGAGTGCAAAGCTTTGAGCCCACCTCGGTAAATCTCAGGCCACGATGAGTTGACCAAGTCGTGGCACGTCGTGGCACACGGGTCTGTTACGAACAAAGTCCTGGAAGTCAACTGATGTCATAAAAGTTGCAGGTACACAATAGTGACATAGTTCAAAATAGTTACATTCATATCAAACATATTGTGTAATATTGTAATAGATTGTATAATATTGTACAATATTGTTATATGATATATCAATATTATTCAATAATAACATATAAGTTACACATATCGACAGCATATATCTTGCACTTACCAAACACGTTTCTACTTGGCCCCGTCCCGCTCCGCGGCCGGCCACGGCACATCAACACGGCCTGGCCCACAGCCATGGGCCGCTGGCCTGACAACACCTGTCTGGCCTGGCGAGACGCGGTGGCGAAGCGGTGCTGGACCCACCCATTTTTTTCGTTCCATAAGTAATGTGGGTAAACTAATAAACACTAGTAATATACCAATAATAAACCACCATGTGGGTAAAAGAGATTCATATAGAAAAACCATTGGGAACCCATATTTGATGGGTCAGTTTATATTATTGTGAAACAATATATATTATGGATCATAATTGATATGTGTAATATGAAAATATATGAAACACACATTTGGGGATTGTCACATGTTGGGTTAAAAACGTTTAGTAACCAACCACAAATAGATCCCCAGTTAAGGATTCAACCTGTGGGTAAAACAATTTCATAAACCATCCCCATTATAGATGGTATGTTTACCATTCCCAGTCATTGATTGTCATGTTTGGTTTATGGCATTCTTTGACCCACATGTTTGTATTCTAAGTATCCATCTTTATGGGATGCTTGAGTTATTGAACCATTCCTGGTGAGAAGTGGAACAGGAATTGATCCAAGCTAGTTTGTGTGATCGCATGTCCACTAGTGCTTGGAAACCTCATGGGAATCTGATTTTGACTTGAATTTCTAGAGGAACAAGGCGTGCATGTTGTGAGGTGCCTGCAAGGCTTTTGTCTGGTTGCAAAAAAAAGAGAACAAGTGGAACAGGAATTGCAGCAACTGCGGCAACCAAGAATTTCTGGGTTGATACAGTCATCAAGATCTGAACGACCAGCCAACAAGATAAGCACGTGGTTCTTTAACAGCTTAACAATCCAAATTCTGTAAGGCTGGGGGATCGTAAAACTATATCCATATTCAACAAACAGGAATTGTGAACCTGTCTATTTTTCTCGGCGAGGGGAGATGTCTTATGGTTGACAAGCGCAGCTGTTAAGTCTTTCAATGGCGGTTTTGCCATTTCTATTTGGCTAATATCACCAGCCTGACTTTGCAGTTCCTCGCTTTGATATGGTGCTCTATTTGGATCAAAGACTTAACGACAGGGCCTACACTCCTACTTCAAGTAGGAGTTGGAATTAGTTAAGCAACAATCATCTATATTATATAATATTATATATATATATATATATATGCTCTTGACTCTTTAACCTTACCAAGCAATTTGAGTTTGTTTCAGGGTGGCATCGGCGCCTGAAGGATCCAATTTCTGACCCTTGGCTTTGGAATGCCGGGCCTCAGCTTGGAATATCCTGGAGATAGGATCCCCAAAGCACCAAAAAAAGCACCTTCAATAGTTGGATGATGATTCATGATTTCGTTGGGGAGGGACGCTCATAATTATTGATTGATGTTCTTGATGTTCTGTGAACAAGAGGATGTGCAATCATTGATTGTGTAATCTTATATATATATAAATAAATATATAGATATATATAAATAGATATATATATATATATATATATACATATAAATATGTATTAATAATAAATAGATATATATATATATATATATCGGGTCCTGACATACCCATGGAGATCCTGAAGTGCATAGACAACTGCGTCTCCTAATATTTTTTTCATTAATGATAGTTACACAAATAATGAGCGGTCAGGCAACAAATAATTCCACAAATTGATCGTGAAATTCCACCAAAACGAGTTTGAATTACTCAATCATCTAAACATTTCAGAAAGTTGTAATTACACCTGATTATAGTCCAATTGTGAGGATTTTTCACTATAATCCACTAATCTAAACATTGGCCTGTTTCAATTTCTCGCTACATAGATTCTTCAGCATTTTTCTTTGCTTCCCATCAGCACAGTTTTTTTCGCACTTTTCCACCGTGAGGTGACGCCAGGGGCCACCTCCTCCAGTGACGTCGACGCACCGTCGCAGGTCGCGAACGTTCGCGGGGCGCTCTCCACGGATGGCGGAGGCATCACCTGAACCAGGGCGGGTTCGGACCAGGTCACGGTAGGCCGTGGGATTCCAACTTCCATAAGTCCAGACATAAAAGCCATGGCCTGTGGATAGAAGAAATCTTGCACCACCTGGGATGGTTAAAACATGTTAAAACCCTATAAATAATGGGATGTTTACCATCTATCAACCATATATTGAATAATTATCAGTATTCTGGGCAAATTAAAATAATTCACAAACCTGAAATGTTGGGCCATTTGGGGATGATTCCTCTATAAAAACCATGATTCCAGTGAGGTGGCAGTGAGGTCGTTATAATTTACCCAGCAGTATGGTCCGTATGGTTTTTGTTTCTTACAACTTATAGGTGGAATTGCAGCCTTCAATCCAAGGCAATCTTGAGAATGCCACATGTCAAAACTCAGTTGTTCTTGCGTGATGTTTTCGCTTCGGAGCGTCAACAACCTGGTTTTGAATTGGTTCTTCTGGTTTGTTCCAAGCTCTTCCCATGGTCCCTTTGACTGCAAAAAACTAGAACAGCAATATTAACAATGCAATAAAGCAATGGGATGCAATTCTGATGATGGGGTCATACCGAACAAAAAGGAGAGTACACAACATCTGTCAATGGCTGGGCGCAGCACATTGCATGGTGCTCAAACAATCCTGGATCCATCAAAAGTAAAGCCTATGTATGTCCTGCATGCATTCGAACATCACCTAAACCAAATATGATCAAATAATTTCCCTCATATTTAGATTATAATTCAGCACCTTCTAATGGTCCCGAAAAAGTGTAATCTCCTATTAAACCATGGTTTCTGGATGTTTCTGGGGGGTGTTCAATATTTGGAGGAAAGGGTTATCAAGGTACGCATAAAAAAAAGTTCTGTAGGTTGGATCCCTATGGAAGACCGCGGATCACATATTTTGCTCATCAGCACTTGCTCGTTTGGAGCTAAAGCATCGACATGGTGAATTCGATGGATCCAAGTCAAGTGCATGATGCGAATGAAGTATGTTGGAATATTTTGGATATGTTTGTCCACCAAGTCACCTGGAAGATGATGATATATTTGATATATGATATTCCATTGGAATGGTCTACTTTTGGCACTTAGTGATTTTTTTCCTGCAACAATGAGCCCACAGGGTCTTTGGCACCTCCCCACGGACCAAGACCTTCGGAACTTCCACCACGGGAGCGGCCAAATGTGGACATGCGTGGGGCATCCTCAGCGCCAAGCGCAGTCAACGAGGCAGGTCCATGGATCCCAAATGATGGCCATTTTAATGTGGAAAATGAATGAACATGAGATTCATTGAAATATTAAATATGAGATTCATCCTGAAATAAAATCTAGATTTTTGCATGAATGAACATGATGAGAATCCATTGGTAGATATGAGATTCATCCAGAATTTCAAGACCAAGACTGGAAAAGCCAAAAAAAAGATCCTTTGCATCCAGGATCCGGTGACCTACACACACTAAAATGCCATGGAGAGTGGAGATTTCAGCCAGGGACATTCCAGGCCAAAAAAAGGATGGAACGGCGGGTCAGTAACTCGGGAGTTCGTGAAAACCAGCTGCTGAGTAACTGGGGTATACATCTTCAAACCCGGTATATATAGCTATTGATATGTAACTGACTATAATTACAATTTATAAGCCAGGTTTCAATTAATCTAGAGTCTATCGGGTTGGGGGAAACATGGTAGAATTGGCAGAAAAGAGGTCAAATCGCCAATTTGCCCCCCATGTCGCTATCATTTACCTACAATGGGCGGGAGCAACCTATATCTAAATACCCCAGGAACCACCAAACCATACTTCGATAGGAGAGGAACTGCGAAATGAATAATCTTTCATAAAGATGGTGCTATAAGTGGATTAACCCTACTTATCCCATTTATAACTGGGGTTATAACCCACTTACTAAGTGGGATGAGCCACCAAGTACTAACCCAGCTAGTAACTCATTGCTACCGTTTTCACCAATCTGGCAGGTTCAGTGACAATTCACCAACCGGAAAATTGCTGTTGTCAAAACCAGCAATTTGGGGATGATTCCCGTGTACATTCACCATCATGAAACAGTGACGTCACGACGTGAGGTCATGATCCAATTCATCCAGATGTTATGGAAAAAAAACAAGATGGTCCTAAATGCCCCCCCAAAAAAATCCTATGAAATCCCATCGGAAGTCCCTTTTCCCAATTCCTATGATCAATGATCACTGATAGTCCAAAAAACATCCAAAACTTCCTAATGTGGTTAAAACAAATTCATAAACCATCTCCCAGTTCACCATTTTTATAGGTGCTAAGCATTCCCAGTGGTAAAAATGGGTTTTACAGATCCAATTCCAACAAAAATCTCAAGTCCCTTGGGATCCCACGGTGCCCAGCGGTGCCCAGCGTCAACAGCAACCGCCCGCGCTTGGGACTCACCGCCCCCAGCGTTTCGCGCTGCCCGGGGGCCACGCCGCCGCTGGGCGCCAGCAAAACGTCGCCCTCCAGGGACTCCAGGAAGGTCGTCTCACCTGGTTTTTGGTGAATCAATTCTTATATTTAATGGATGATCATGGTGAATAATGCTGAATTTATGGATTACCAGTAATTACCAATGATCTACTCTAATCTATCTACCTAGCTATCTAATCTATCTAATCTAATCTAATCTAGTCAAATTTAATCTAACCTATATCTACCTAGCTATCTAATCTATCTAATCTGTCTAATCTACCTACCTACCTACCGACCGACCGACCTACCTACCTTACCTATCTAATCTAATCTATCGATTCTAATCGACCTAATCTATCTAATCTATCTAGTCTATCCAATCTATCTAATCTATCAAATCTATTTAATCTATCTAATCAATCTATCTAGGTATATCTATCTAATCTATCTAATCTATCTAATCTATATAATCTATCTTTATATATCTCTATCTATCTATCTATCTATATATCTATCTATATGTCTGTCTATCTATTTTTCTTTTGATCTATCTATCTATCTATCGATCGATCGATCGTGGTATCTATATTTCTATCTATCAATCTATCTATCAATCTATCTATCTATCTATCTCTATCAATCTGTCTATCTATCTATCTCTATCTATCTCTATCTATCTATCTAACGATCTAATCTATCTATCTATCTATCTATCGATCGATCGATCGATCGATCGATCTATATATCTATCCATCTATTTATCTATCTATCTATCTATCTATTTATCTATCTATCTAGCTATCTATCCTATCCTATCTATCTATATATCTATCTATCTACCTACCTACCTACCTATCTATATATCTATCTATCTATCTACCTATCTATCCATCTATCTATCTATCGATCTATCTATCTATCTATCTATCTAAATATATATATATATATATCTATCTACATCTATCTACATCTATCTACATCTATCTACATCTATCTACATCTATCTACATCTATCTACATCTATCTACATCTCTACATCTATCTACATCTATCTACATCTATCTACATCTATCTACATCTATCTACATCTATCTACATCTATCTACATCTATCTACATCTATCTACATCTATCTACATCTATCTACAACCATCAACATCCATCAACATCTATCTATTTATCTGTCTATCTATCTATCAATCGATCCATCTATCTATCTAGCTATCTATCTATCTATCTAGCTATCTATCTATCTTTCTATCTGTCTATCTATCTATCTAGATATCTATTTATCTATCTATATATCTACCTATCTTTCTACCTATATATCTTTCTACCAATCTATCTTTCTATCTATCTAATCTAATCTATCTACCTATCTATCTATTTATCTATCTATCTATCTATCTATCTATCTAATCTATCTTTATATCTATTTATCTATCTCTATCTATCTATCTATCTATCTCTCTATCTGTCTATCTATCTATCTGTCTGTCTGTCTATCTATCTATCTATCTAATTTACCTCGTCTATCTATCTATCTAATCTACCTAGTCTATCTAATCTATCTAATCTATCTACTCTATCTATGTCTGTCTAATCTATCTAATCTATCTTCATCTATCTCTATCTATCATCTATCTCTCTATACATATATATATATATACATCAATCTATCTATCTGTCTGTCTATCTATCTATATATTTATCTATCTATCTATCTATCTGTCTGTCTGTCTGTCTGTCTATCTAATCTATTTATTCTATCTAATCTATCTAATCTATCTAATCTATCTAAACTATCTAATCTATCTAACATATCTAATCTATCTAATCTATCAAATCGATCTAATCAATCTAATCGAATCAAATCGAATCAAATCGAATCTATCTAATCTATCTAATCTATCTAATCTAACTAATGTATCTAATCTATCTAATCTACCTAATCTATCTAGTCTATCTAATCTATCGGATCTATCTAATCTATCAAATCTATCTAATCTATCTAATCTATCTAATCTGTCTAATCTATCTAATCTATCTATCTTTCTGTCTATATATCTATCTATCTATCTATTTATCTATCTGTCTATCTATCTATCTATCTATCTATCTACATATCTATCTATCTAATTATCTTTTTATCTATCTTATCTATCTTATCTATCTTATCTATATTATCTATCTTATCTATCTTATATATCTTATCTATCTTGTCTATCCTATCTATCGTATATATCTATCTTATCTATCTATCTGATCTACTTATCTTGTCTGTCTATCTAATCTATCTATCTTATCTATCTAGTCTAATCTATCTAGTCTATCTAATCTATATAATCTATCTAATCTATTTAATCTATCAAATCTATCTAATCTACCTAATCTACCTAATCTATTTAATCTATCTAATATGTCTAATCTATCCAATCTATATAATCTATCTAATCTATCTAATCTATCTAATCTATCTAATCTATCTAAACTATCTAATATATCTAACATATCTAACATATCTAATCTATCTAATCTATCTATCTACCTGTCTATCCGTCTATCTGTCTTTCTATCTATCAATATATATATATATATATATATTTATATCTATCTATGTATATGTATATCTATCATATCTATCTTATCTATCTTAAGTATATTATTTATCTTATCTATCTTATCTATCTTATCTATCTTTTGTATCTATCTGATATTTTTTTCTATCTTATCTATCTATCTTATCTATCTAATCTAATCTAATCTAAACTAATCTAAGCTAATCTATCTAATCTAATCTATCTAGTCTATCTAATCTATCTAATCTATCTAATCTATCTAATCTATCAAATCGATCTAATCGATCTAATCGAATCAAATCGAATCAAATCGAATCTATCTAATCTATCTAATCTATCTAATCTATCTAATCTAACTAATCTATCTAATCTATCTAATCTATCGGATCTATCTAATCTATCAAATCTATCTAATCTATCTAATCTATCTAATCTATCTAATCTGTCCAATCTATCTAATCTATTTATCTTTCTTTCTATCTATCTATCTATCTATCTCTATCTATCTATCTATCTATCTAAATATATACACAGTATATGTATATATGTATCTTTGTATATATATATATGTGATACTTTTTAATGAAACGACTCTGCTGGTTTCAATATGTTCAATGATACTTGATATGCGTTTACCAAGGAACACATGAAGACGTCAGATGGAGGTCTGTACCGTCTAAATGTTTTTTTGACGGTGACCTGGTAACCCATGATTCAAGAAGTCGAGTCTTTTGCAACCAGTGTACCTCACATGAACTCTGTGACTGCTTCGCGAGGTCCAGAGAAAATGAAAACAATGGAATCTACTGTAGTTTGTATGAAAGAGTGAACTAGTAAACTGAGTAAACTTTGCATGTCTTTGCCTGAGATGATTGAAGTTTCGGAAACCATCTCAACATTGACATGACTCATTGGTTTCTCTTTTCCTACAACGGTTCTCTTTTAAAAAAATGGGCCACGGATTCACCGGCCACATGAAACTCAGCTGTTTGGCTCAAAAACTGCTGCACCTGTGGTTGTTTGGGAAACAAAATTCATGCACCTGACGATGTGTGGGAAAGAAATCGATTCACCTGGGGATGCTTGAGAAATAAAATCGATGCACCTTACGCTGTTTGGGAAACAACATCGATGCACCAGGGAGTGTTTGGGAAACAAAATCGATGCAACATACGGGGAAGGTGCATTGATTTTTGATCTCGGCATCGTCCCCCGTAGGCCTAAGAAGTGCATTGATCTTGCAACAGACCATCAACATATAAAAGTCAATGCACACCGGACAGGTGCATCATTTTTTTGAGCCAAACAGCTGAGTTTCATTGATTTTGTTGATAACGATAGTAATGATCATGCCAGCAGCTCTTGGGTCCACTTACCTCAAACATAGACTCACTTACCTGCCTGGCCTAGACTATCCTGCGCCGACATTCACGCATAGCATTCACTAGACACCGCGTCAGTGCCTAAAGGCTTCGAACCACTATAGTAGTCTACAGTCCACACGCCGTGGAACATCTCGGGTTCATACTATTATCTGCTGAAACATCCTAAATCATTATCATAGTATATCTAGACTGAGAACATCAGCTTTACATTGATAAATTATATTTCAAAAATGTTCAAAACGTGTTCGCATGATTTTCCCTGGAAAATTCAGTGCCTCAATGCATCCCAGTGCATCCCAGCCTCCTGAGATGCAGTCGCTGAGGTACAACAGGAAGGTGTAGGTGGACCGCAGGCCGTTCTTGTCATATCGAGGCCTTTGGGCGGGGACACCATATCGAGGCTTGTGGATGAACTTGGGGAGGTAATCATAGTACACTGTATATAGCAATTATCTATCTATATAATCTATAATCAATATATATGAATAGTAATATATATATGTATGAATAGTTCTATAATAGAGATATAATGAAGATACATGTAGCTCAACAGATTAGTTGCACCTGGATTTGTTGAAGTTTGCAAAGTATGACAGTGAAAGCTAGTCCCACCTCACGTGTTTCAAAACGTGTATGACGGTCTTGTATGAAGCTCCAGATCTATAAGCATTGGATTCTCTTGGAGTGTCTTGTAAGAGTTTGGCGCTATCAGATTGAGCCAAAGTCATAATTCTGCCTACGAGCACAATTCCCAGGCTGGGCTACCAGCTGACCGTCAATGATAAATCTTCATCCAGATGTGTTGCAAGATCTCTGAGGTGACCGTGACTTTAGCCATGACTTCATTGCCAAGTTCTAATCAATTAGTTACTACAATGTGGGCTCCCCCAGTTTATAAGTTGGTTTATAAACACCAGTAATTATAGTTTTAACTACCATAAACCGTCATAAACCATATTTATTGGAGTTACTAACCAACTTAGTTACTAATTATGTTCAAGAAACAGTCCCCAAAATCGCATAACTAGCCATTGCGAACTGGGGATCAGCTTCTCCGCCAGAGCAGAGCTCAATCCAAGTCTTGAACGAATCAACAACTTAATCTCTTTGCATATCAAAAAATTAAAAAAAAAAAAGCAAAAAGAAACGCCGATTTCCGTTGAGTCAAATTAAATCACCATGGATTATCACCATAATTTACAGCACAATACAACCAACAATGCCATGATGTGCACCAAACAATGCCATCTCACTCGCCGCGCGGCAAGTCGACATGTGCTGGGAGCGATCCACCAGGGTGTGGATAAATCCTGCGCAGGTGGGACGAGATCGCCGATTTTCGGTGGATCGACCGGGATGGAGTGGTTTCCAACAATGATATGTTGGTTTTCTAAAGTGGTACTACAATGGTTTCAATATGTTTCAATACTATAATGGTCTAGCTTAGGTTATTTTAGGAAACTTCTTTTTGGGGATAAAATGGGGAACGGGGAAGATATGGGGGTTTTCTGTGAGGCAAATGGTGATTTAACCATCAAAAATAAAGCTGCTTTTTACCGTTTTTTGGCAACATGAGAAGAGGTTTGGTTCCCCCCGAATAAGCCATGTGATATGAGGAACCGTAAGGGATGCATGTGTTTGCGAAAGGATATTGGGCCAAGCAACAGGAAGCGCACGCGAGACACAGTTGAATCAGCGTCGTTTAGCTTTGCACTTCCTGTGGCGATGGTCACTGTATGAAGTGATATGGATTATATTGGATTATATTGGATTTTATTGGATTATGTTGGTTGAAGGGAAAACCCAAAGGGACCCAGTTTTTTTCGCATCCAACTAATGGGGTTTCCGGTAAAGTTTCCTTTCATTGCTGGAAACCTTGCAACCAGTTGGCCAAGAAGAAACCTCGGTAAATTTGGGACGCACTGGTGAAACACCAAGATACTGTTTTTTGTTTTTCTTTGCGGCGCTTTCGCGAACCCAATATTGGACAATTCAGCCAAGCTATGAACTCAATGGCATGTCTGGCCTTTGGTGGAGACTACCTTTACATACCTTTATAATCCTTTATATTATAGGGACGGGTTGGGCATAGCTGAATATCTCTTTCTGCACAGGTCTCCCTTGGGATAGCCAGCAGAATTCCGGGATAGAACCGCTCCTTTTGGCCAATATTTTTTACCAGTCCTCAGTATTTTTTTTGTCAACCCTTTACTGATCGCTGGGAATGCCGATCATGTTGACCTCGCAAGGCAAGTCGCGTCTTTTTTAATTATTAGCACTGATTGGTATTCCTAGCAATAACCGTCCTATCAATATTCATCAGGACTCAATCATTTTTATATCTGAATCTATATAGCACTTCACAAAGAACATCAACATATATAGTATGATATTGTCATAAAAAAATACTGAACATTTGAATATTATATATCAGCCAGAAAAAACTATATAGACATTTGAGGATTTTAGGTTTATCAATGTTATTAGCAAGATTGTTTTAGGTGAATGCGCAGTGCTTGCCCCTTCATCCCATCACCACGTAGCACTGCCGAGTCACGAACCGCTGCGTTTAACGCACCAGTCATCCAGCCCTCCACGTCGTCGAAGTAGGCGCGTTCTGTGGGTGAAGCTTTCCTTCTTTTTTGGCGTCCCGAGGGAGGACCATCATCCACTTAAGATGTAGGTAGGTGGCGAACTACCCACGAATCGTGGTTGTGGGTTATAATAACCCCAGTGATTGACATGGGATAAGTAGGGTTAATCCACTTATAATTCGGGTGAACTAACCCATTTACTATGTGGAAAATGAATGAAAATGACCCATCTATGGATGATTATTGATGATGTGCCCATTCAAGATGTAGGGAAATCCCCTAAAAATGATGTATTTTTTCGTGGGAAGTTGTGATCTATTAAAAAAACAGGAGTTTCTGGTAGGTCGAGTTCTAAAACACGACTCTACTGTCCATGGAAAAGTTACCTCCAGGGTCACCTCAGAATGATAAAACACAATCATTACATGGATACACATAGAAGATATATGAATCCAGCAACAATCGCCTTCCCAAACATTCTATTTTCACATAGATGCCATAGCAATTTGCAAGATAAAATTGTACGCTTACTTCCTGTTCGCCATTTCATATGTGGCATTGTTACACATCAACTTGGAGGAACAACATGTCCTTCAGACAAATCCGTGTGGAAACAAACGGTTGCACACGATGCTGACAAAACAACATGCATCAACGTTTAAGCACGTCCGGCTGGCACTGCTTTTCAAGCAAGAAATCATCTTACATAGTTTATATGTTGGTGATCTAGCAATCCCCGGACACGGAATCTATCACGGGAATCACCAGTTTCTATTGGGGTGATTATTTTCTATCTTTTTTGGGTTGCTATATTTGTTATTCTTGTGTCTTGGGAACAGTATTCGATCGCCGCGTCATTTCATCCACTGATGTTCCAAGATTCTCCTTGGGGGCCAATGGCAACTTCTGCCAAAGGCTCCCCAGTCGAAGCAAAATCTCCTGACAGATTGGGCGGGGCTAGTGCTGACCTGGTGTGGAGCTAAGTAATTATCATAAGAGAACAGAACAGGACACAATGATACACACTCATGATTCTGCATTGGATAGATGAACATACTCATGTCATCCCATGATTTTTCTTTTTTTACATCATCCAGTGCACCATACGGTGGATGGGCCAGCGTTTTATCACCAGTTGATAGGTGATAAACATCCCATTATATTACTGGTGCTTGGCAGGGAATTTTCGGGAATGATCCATAATCACTACTAATAGTCATCCCAGCAACCCCCAGCAACCTATCTGTTCCCTACGTAAAACGCACCAGTAAGATATTTATAGGTGAATCAACCATCCAAAATTGGTCAGTTGGGATGATGACATTTCCAATCAGCATGGAAAGTCATAATCCAGCCATGTTCCAAATCACCAACCAAATCACCATCATATTCCCATTATTGTTGGTTTATAGCCTATTAACCACTATTAACCACTATTAACCATTATTAACCACTATTAACCATCACTATTAACCATCACTATTAACCACTATTAACCACTATTAACCACTATTAACCACTATTAACCATTATTAACCATTATTAACCATTATTACTATGGTTCAATCAGAGGATTTCGCCTTTCCACAGGACGTGCCACGTGCCGTGCCTCTTCAAAGGCGCCATCGATGACCACGGTGCCGGCACCCGGGTGCTGGACGCCTTCGGGGATCACAGCCGACACCACCGACGACACCACAGGGACTGCTGGGACTGCCGGTGGCCGTGCAGCTAACAGCCTGGCACGGAAAATGCGGTGGACATGGTGGGAAATGGTGGGAAAAAATGAATTTCACTTCAGCTCGAAGTACATGATCATCATGGGAAATGTACTTTGGAAATTGTGGACATTGGAAATTGTGGAAACTATGATTGTTTCTTTAGTTAACAGACCTATGATCAACCATCTCCAACTAATCATCTATAGTCAACCATCTATGCTTAAGTACATGGCAATTCAGAAGTTGCAATCTTGATGGGATTAAAAGTTCGAAAATTGAAGTACACTATTTTCAGACACACCCATATATGAATTCCTGTGGCAATATTCTTGAGTACTAAGAGACAGGTGGAAAACACCAATATTGATCTAGTTCAATCCGAAATTGGGAAAGTGGATTAACATGGATTAACATTTCAACCATGGTGTCCACAGGATACACATGTCCAAGAATGTGACTGGTTAACAACCATGAATCTGTAAACCAAGTTGTACTTGATCAGTTATATAATTGACTTGGGCCCCAGTTGGCTGAGATTTGGTATACCTATCATTCACGACTACCAGTGGGAAATGACTCACCGGCCATTAGCAGTCACCAGCAACCAGCAATTTTAGTTATTCACTATTTGCGAGAGGAATCCCGGTTCTGTTTACTATCATATACTGTTTACTGATCACAACATTACTTGACAAATTTGAAAAAATACATTGAACAACAGCAACAAAATGCAGTGGACAACTATCAAACAATTAACCATAAAAACAAATTTGCCAAATAACGAACCACTACTTCCGCTAATCTGAAATAACTGCCCAAAATTGATCCTATCAAAATGAATTAGTACAGTACAATATACGCACCAAATGTGAGAAACTAATCCATGATATCCAAAGTTATCCCAATTTGTGGATGTCCCCATCATATCACCATCATATCATCATCATATCACCACTAAATCACGATTAAATCACCATTAAATCACCATTAAATGACCACTATACCACCATATTTCCATTACCGTTTCTATTCCATTCGTTTCAACATGGATTTCAAGGCCTCGTCGCTTCCAGCTTCACTGCAGCCACTTCCGCCATCTCTTCCAAGGCGGCACGGCGCCCACAGAAGGCAGCGGCCTGAGATATGGCATCTTCATTTTGGATATCAAGTATATTCAATAATATCAAGAAAAGAGAAATAGAACACATTGACAGCATCTCAATATGTATACATACTGTATATAATATATAATATATATATAATGTAAATATATGATTAGAAATAGTGCAGACCGCGGAAAACGACTTTGGAACGGGCAGTGTACAGCAAAGGAGCACCTCGTACCATCAGTGTAGCGTTTCCCCTCCCCTGGTCGTCCTGTCCCATCGGCACCTGGCATGGGCTGATCCCAGCATTGTCACAGCGTGTAAAATCCTGGGCCAAAGGTCGAGGAGACAAGGGATTCAAGTGTGATATACTAGCCAACAGACACAATACCCAGCACTAGGCTATTTGAATCATATGGCACTTTTGATCCAGTATCAAAATTTTATCAGTTGTTTTTAATCATCGAAGCTATGCCCAAAAAGGTGATTGAACATACCCTCTGGTAATGACTAACATAGCTATTGAAAATGGCCATTGAAATAGTGAGTTTTCCCATTAAATATGGTGGATCTTTCCATAGTTATGTTAGTCATTACCAAAGGGTAGCTACAAATAACTGGTTGGTGGTTTGGAACATGTTTTTTTCCATATATTGGGAATAATCATCCCATCCTACTATGGTGAAAAATTACCAAAGGGTAGTAGGCAAAGCATCACGTCGCGAATGGGTCATTGGTTTCTCTCCGCTTCCAAGGCTCCGCATCAGAGGCGGCCAGGAAACGCAGAACCTCCACGGCTCCTGGATCAACATGGATCAACCCTTGGGACCGACGGAAATGGGCTACAGATGGAGCCCCAAAAATCCAACAACCATATGCTAAATGGTCAAAACTAATAAGGTGTATAGAAGGTGATGTAGCCCCAATTTATATGGTTTTATATGAACAATTTATATGCTACAGTCCCTCCATGTTAGGCCCCTGGAATTCCCGTGGCTTATCATAGCCATTCACTGGCGTATGTAATAATCTATAATAATCTGTATCTACTAGTTACTACAAGGTAAGGCCCCCCCAGTTGTGTTTGTTTTGCTCTATAAACCCAATGAACACTATAGCTATATATATATATCATACACACACACACCGCACCCCATAAACCATAGTGAACCAAGTCATAAGTCAACTTAGCTATCTAGGGGGCGGAACCTTATAGTATTATGTACATATATATATAATATACGATTTAAAAAGAAGAAACCCTTTACACTTTACACAAGGTCTGGGTAAAAATTGGACACATGCAGGCACCTACAAGCAACAAAAACCCGGTTTCTTCTCATCCCGCTAGATTTCGAAGCTGCTGCGGCTATCTACACTCATCAAACAAGCCAAAAAACCGGCTTGTTTACAAAGCCAAAATGCCGTTGCAATCAAAACAGCTACAGGATGGTGCTCCCCCAGTTATGTTTGTTTGATTATAAAGCCCATGAATACTAGTTCCTTATATCTACCAGAAACTATAGAATTCAGCCACTTTTTTTAGGCAAGTGAACGCTATCCAACGGGGGCCCCATCCTGCCACAGCAGCCAGGAAGACAGCACTTTGGCCGTACCTCGGTCTGAGCGGCTCGATAGGGCAAGCCATGGTTTCCACATGGTTTCCACATGTTTTATAATTTGGCCATGATCATGTTTATAGTGTGTTATAGTTGGCTTCAAATATTGAAATATCCTCTTTCAAGACTTGGTTGTGACATGTTGTGATACCAAGTGTTCATGTGATTTCTGCTTCTGGGATCTTTAAATCAGCCAATTGAGGATCAGCTGGATTCAAGGCTAGGCTGCAAATGGCCCATCTATTACCCATCCATCTATGAAAAAAAACAAGAAAAATCTATCTGTTTGATCTCACAAGTTGATCATGGAGTAGAGATGCAACATCAAACTGAACAGCTAAACACCGATGACCCTGAAGAGTGTAGTAGATAAATTAAGTTGTCAGAAACCAAAGACCGCCAACATCATATGTCATAGGGTATGTCCTTCCAGGTGTATAGAAGAAGTGCACTGGCACCACAAATCTCAGCTACTGCTAATCAGTGGATTGCAATGTTCTAATGTGTGAGGCTTGTGGCCCCAAATCATGGTTCCAAAGTCATTTTGTTTCTCCACGTGTTGGAAATGGGCCCGGTTTTATTCCATTTGGACAAAATCCAGGCATTTCACGACACGGTCATCAACTTTCACGTATGTTAATCATTGTTAATCACTAGCCACATGGATCCTCCCCGATTTCTTCCTGAGGTAGACTTCAAACATCTTCAAGCCAAGTGGCTCGTTGGCGGCATTCACTGGAGCGCCAAGGCGTAAAGCCTTTTGCACAGCATCCACATCTCCATTTTCCTGAAAGGATTACCCTCTGGTAATTTAACAGTTTGCTATCATGTACCATTTATAGTTGATTTACCTATTCAAAATGGTGATTTTCAATAGCAAACTGTTAGTTTACCAGAGGGTATTGTGGTTGAATTTCAGAAGATGCTGGGAGCACCGACGCTTCCTGTAATCATCCGAATTCTGAAAATTGATTTGGCCGGCCGCTGGGTCCCCTATTTTCAGGTGCACATTCTTTCAATTGGTCAGCTGCCGAGAAGGTGTCATGTCTGCGAAGTGGAACAGTTTAGAAATGCTGAAAAATGAGAGCAACATCTACCTGTAAATCAATTGCCATGATTTATGTATCTGCACTTAACATTTGATTGATGTAGTTCTTTGGGGAAGTGCCGGACTTGACTGCGTCGTGTCAGCCTTGTGGGAAGTGAGTTGATCCACAATAACTTGCAATTAGCACCTGCACAAACAGTCCTTTGATCATGAAGATAATCATTGTCCTTGTTATACAGCATCATTATCATCGTTCATAGTCATCTTCATGATCAATTTATCCATGTTCATTATATTTCAACACATGTCATATTTCATGCATTATTAATATATTGTCATCGCCGTTCAGAACGTCATCATCCTGATCATTCCTGATCCATGTTCATCATATTTCATCCCATGCCATGAATTTCCAGCCCGGAGATCCGCCGCTTGGAAAAGCTCCAGGCGTTGAAGCGATCGGGTGGAGCCGCAGTCCAACAATTGCAGAAATTCCTGCGACCAGGAGCAGGAATTGAGGTGAAAAACCCTGGCAGTTCTAGGGGATTCATGGGGGATCCTTGGGGATTCATAGGCGGTTCTGAGCGGGGGTCATGGGGATTGTCAGAAAAATCTATGGGGAAGATAATGAACAGCCTTAACCATCCTCAGAATGTCAATGTGAACTCAGGATAGATGCAACTTGAGACGTTTATTGAAGCAATGGCAACTAGTCCAACAATGCCGTGTCATGAAGTCCCCCAGAATTTCCTGAAGTGTTATTTTTTTCTGATCAAGAACCTGGGCAAGACTCCCAAATTTGAGGAAGACTCGTGACAGTTTTGCGAACCAAGACTGGGTTGTAACTCTATACTCCTATTTGCCACTAGAAGATAGTAGCATGTCTTTCAACACAACCCAGTCGAATCATCGCCGGATGGTTCATCAGTTTGATCATGTTTGATCCATTCGAAAAATAGCACCAACATGCATGCATATTGTTTAATGCAAATTATCACTTGAGAGGGGGAACACGAAAGGTAGGTGATCAAGAAGGGGAAACAAAGCCTCTCTGTGCAAAAATTGGCAATGTGTAAACGCGTGCTGTGTGCACAAGTTTCTGTGTGCAATTTGTGTCTGAGTAAAAACGTCTGTGTGTAAAAAATGCTGTGCGTGAAACCTTGTGCGTAAGACTTCTGTGCAGAGAACTTTCTGTGTAAAAACCATCTGTCTGTAAGAACTGTTGTGCGTATGTTATTTGGTGCGTAAACGCTTCTGTGCGAAAAAAATCTGCTGCGTACTGAGCAAAAAATTCTGCATGCAAAATAATCGGTCTGTAAAAACTTCTGTGTGCAGTCTGTGTGTACAAGTTTCTCTGTGTCAAATGTTTTTTTTTGTGTAGAAAAAAACATGGGCAAAAACTGTTTTGTGCAAAGGTTTCTCTGTGGACAAGGTTCTGTGTGTAAAAACGCCTATGTGCCTTTATTTATGCGCGCAAAAGCATCTTCGTACAAAGCATTGCTGTGTAAATACTTCCTTCTTTGCGAAAAAACCTCTGTGTGTAAAGCGTCAGTGTACAAGAAAAAAATGTGCACAAACCTCTCTGTGTAAGAGTCTCTGCGCGGCAAACCTGCTCTGTGTAAAGGCTTCTGTGCGTAACGTCGTCTGTTTGTAGAAACGTATGGGTGCAAAATGCGTCATCACAGCCAAAACGCAAAAAAAACAATAAAATCCAAGATCAAATGCTTGATGTCGTTACCGTTGTTGATGATGGCGATGATTCGCGCAGGGCCCCACAAAGCGTCATTTTGGTTGTCTTAAGTCAATTTGTTAAAGCCTTCGCAACAAATTACTTTCTTCGAGTTATCCCCACCAAGTGGCACTTTTTTTCACATATTTTCTGACATGCTCTCTGGCTTTCGCATTTTATCTCTTATATTTTCTGCAATTCTTTCTGGCATTCTATCTGGTATATCTTCGGAAATTCTTTACAGTTGAGGTCCGACAAAATTTGATGTTTTTGTTGTTCCCTCGGACCCTTTGTTACCTCGCACCGTATTATTATGTTTTTCCTACTTTTTCCTCTGTGTTTTGCTGTGTTTTTCCCTTTTTCATTGCGCAAAAAATGCAGGATTTTTTGCGCTGCCCTTCTGGGTGGGGGTTTGGGGGTTTGGGGTTTTGGGGGGTGGGCTAAGCGTGTTTTTTTTCTCTGCGCCAAGACGTTAACTTTTTTGTTTGGCGCGTTTGGTTTTGTTATTGTCCGTGCTGCTTGGATCGTGTCCGTGACCTTTGGTTTTTTGGGGGTGGGTTTTGAGGGATTTGGGTTTATGTGTGTTGTATATGATATAGGTATCTATGATATCTTTGGTATACATGATATCTATGTTGTTTATGATATGTATGATATATATATATATATACATACATATGTGTTAAATATGATGTATATGGTATCTTTGATATCTATGGTATATATGATCTCTATGTTGTTTTTGATATATATGATATCTCTGATACATATGATATATATGGTATCAATGTGATATATATATATGATATATATATATATATATATATGATATACAGGACCGAGCAGGCCAATTGTGCCATGATCCACGCCACAAGTTTGATTTGGACAAAGATCAAGCGTGGCTGTGGACCTAGTTGCGAAACAACGGCAGACGTGTGGAAAAAGGCACTGAACGCCACCGTGCCATGGGGATTTTGTCCCTTGCCGGCGCGCGGTTACAGGGCGTCCGACCGTTGTTGTTGTTGCTGTTGCTGTTGCTGTTGTTGTAGTTGCTACTAGTACTGTTGTTGCTGTTGTTTGTTGTCTGTTGTTCTTGGTGTTCTTGTTGTTCTTGTTCTTGTTCTTGTTGTTGTTGTTGTTGTTGCCGCTGTTGCCCGTGCGTTTTTTTTTCTCAGTCCCGTTGTGGCCGAAAATCGTCAAATAGATGGTGTTTTCACGTTTGTTTGAAACTCTCGGAGCAAAAAGCACTGTAAATACTGATGTGTGTTGCGCATCGGAAGCCCAAAACCACAGTATTTACGATGTGTTTTGCCTCTGGTAACACAAATCACATTATTTACCGCCAGTGCCTAGCAAAAACACTGGTACTTAAGCAGTTTTCAACATGTTGCAAGAAGTACTTTTTCCATGCCAAAGGGACAAAAACACTGTAAATTACGGTGTTTTGGGTCTAGGGGTCGGAACGGGGTGGAGGGGGGTACTGAAATGACTAGCAATCTCCTGAATAATCAGGTAACGGGGCTGGCCATCCTCCCCTTTACTTCGTAAAGCAAAACTGAAAGTACAGTAGCCCCGCTGGAGCTACCTTTCCTGAAAAGGGCCTCAATCATCCCCAATCTATTGTCTCAGTGGTAGCCAACAAATAGTATGCCAAACTGCCACTCCAGTATGCCTACACAACAAAACATACCTTTATCAAAATCCGGAAAAACATAATCACGATTTTAACAGAACACCATCAACATAGATAAGAAAAACCATCGGGGATGTCCCAGCGCGTCACCTTCCAAGGTTCCAGTGCTTCTGTCCTGGCCAAAACGACTCCCAGGGATCTGCCGGAGGGGCAAACATGGCAGGGAAAGTGGGTGAAATTTCCAAGGTCTAATCTTTAAGCCCAACATAAATCTACCATGAATGAGATCATACCAAATTGAAACTGGTAGTTTTGTTGCTCTTTGAGCTGCTTGTTGATTCTTACGTAAGTACATGGCAAAGATGGAGAAGAGTTGAATTTTACATCCACTTACATTCATCATACAAATATACACCGTCGCTCCCAAAAGAACAAGTGCCACCTCTTGAAAACCTGAGAAAACTCGCCATCTGTCTCTGGGCTAATTGGTTGGGTACCATTGTTCTCCATGGCCATATTGGATTACCAGAGGGTAATGTATGAACAACTGTTTTTTTCTAGCTTGGTTAACATGCATTGTGGAAATTGATATATCATATATGGTGGCTAGCAACCATCCGCTTGCCAGCTGGTTGAGCCAGTGATTCATCTAGGCCGTGACATGATCCTGGAAGGGGATCAGATGCTCAGTATGTAAGTATATGTATATATCATTATATATTATTATCTGGTTGGTGGTTTCAACCCCTCTGAAAAATATTAGTCAGTTGGGGTTATGATTCCCAATATACGGAAAAATAGAAAACATGTTCCAAACCACCAATCAGTTGTATAATTATATATTATCATATTGTACCCATGACATCCGCATTATACCCTGCCATTGTTGGAACTCACTAGGCACATCCATGCCATATACCCTCCAGTCCTGACCCGCTCTTCGATGGCCTTCCGCATGGCGGCAGCTTCCGCTTCATCCACCTGGCACCCCCATGTGGAGGCCATAGAAACATGGCACAACTAGTTGGTTGGAGAAGTCTTACATCCCATCATCATTTGTTTTCTTTAGTATCTCCTAGTTGAATATCCCCATGTTTCCATCATCATTCACTATTTTGCTACCCTTTCATTTCTGTCATTTCTGCTTTATACCGTGTTATACCCACCATTTCTAGGAATCTACTTGGAAGTGCCAATGCAGTTATAAGTGGATACATAACCATAGCTCTAGGGCTTATATCCTAGCCTATGGGGGCTTATAACCATGGTTCCACACATGAAAGTAACTGACCTTCATCCCCAAGTAGCATCTCATGGCATCCATGGCATCCATGGCACCTGCGCGGCGCGTCGCCAGTTGGCATCACAAGCTCCAAGCTCCAGCGAGTCCAGGGCCACGCACTCCGACGGCACCGCCGGCGCCAAAAGCGCTGCGGCCTCGAAGCATTGGGCGATGTAACCTGCGGCAGATGATCCATCAATGGCCATTTCAGGAACCTAAATTGGAGGTACTGTACCATATAAGGCCATATTTTGGGGGGATATCCCCTTACATAGCCCTTATATAGGCCTTATATATGGTAGGTACCTCCATTTTAGGATCCTGAAATTCCCATTGAATCCATGGAGGAACCAGAATAAAAATACTTTCTTCAAGTGATCCCCACCTTGAAACACTATTCTGACATAGTTTCTGACATAGCATCTGGAAGTGTTTTTGTGGCATAAAATTCTGACATTCTATCTGACATTCTTTCTCTGGTATATCTTCGGAGATTCTTTGCGCTTGAGGTCCGGGGACCCCTCTGATCCTGGGTTTGCTGTTCGGGTCCGGCGGGGACGAGCGCTTGCAGTTGAGGTCCGGCGGAGAAGGAGAAGGAGGAGGAGGCCAGTTGACATATAACAACCCTCACCTGACAGGTGAGGAAAAATGGAGGTGAGGTTTATCACTATTTTTGTCGGAATTTGATTTATTTTCTATTTTTTGGGGGTTCTCTAATATCTATACCTTGTTGTATTGTTTTTGCGTGGTTATAGAACAGCTATGATGTATATATGTTTGTATGTTTAATATGTATACATGTTTGTGCGTAAATTATGGGTGAAGTACTGATATAGATAGTGATTGATTGCTCAACTTACTATCTTTGACTATTTGGATTCGGATATCAAGTATATTTATAAATATTGCTTGGTTGATGGCCTTGACCTGGTTTAACACACTACAGTATGTGTTCAAGAGGCCCTACATTTCCTTGTCCGTTGACCAAAGGGGATACTCAACAAAGTTGGGTTGAACAAGAATCGTTGCTTGGTAGGTTGACCCAGCATTGGCTGGGCAAAGGAAACATATTTCTCCAAATTCAAACCAATTTTTCTGGCTTGCGATTCACCAACCTTAAATCAAATTATGGATGTATGGGTCAATATACGGGACATTTAAAGATAAACCATGATAAACCTACATTGAATTAATTAACAAAAATGCAAAATGTCTGGCTTCATCAGAAAAAAAAAAGACTACTAAATCTACTAACTATCTATGCTGAAGTCGTTGTGAGGTCGCTGTAGCCGAGCTCGTTGCGAGCCTCGCCTAGAGGTTCCGATTGACGGGTCGTAGCCACCAAGGCCTCAAAATGTGTCGCGGCCGCTGGGGTCCCGAGCGGTGCAGCCCCACCACAAAATGTGTCGAATCGCTGAATCGCTGAAAGAGATTTTGGTGTATTCAAATATAAGTGTGTGTATATATATATATGTGGTCTGTATGCATGTGTATATATTCACTGAACTAATGTAATATTAATCTATTTGATATCTATTTGCTACCCCAAGATGGAAAGGCCTTAAATTTGAGAAATACTGTGGGCTTACCTTACCATCACAAGTAATCACCCCTTGCTGATGCAAAATCCCGGATGGCCATGCGACTAAGTTGAGCCCTAATCGCAACTTCTTCGTTGCCTCTTTGAAACAACCACTCCTTAGTGACCTAGTTATCGGCAACCCCCAACTCTCAGATCTACAACTATACATGTGGCTTGTATGCCTTTGTCGAAACATACCCTTGGATGTCATGGGCTGTGCTCATGTTTATCATCGTTGACCCCATTGTTTCCTGGCAATATTTTGGGCTCTAGATCCGCCCGTGACATACCACCATAATACCTCCATGATATCTCTGGAATGTCTGCCATCATATCCGATATACCCTCTGGTAATGACTAACGGTTCGCGAACTTGGAAATGGCCCAGTCGAAATCCTTGATCTACCCATTAAGAGCATGGTGATTTGCCAGTTCGCTATGTTGGTAAAATACCTCCATGATACAGTATCTCTAGAATATCTCCATAATCTAAAGATATCCATAAATATCCCCACCATATCTGCCCATCTTGATCATATCCGATATACCCTCTGGTAATTTAACGGTAGCTATTGGAAATGGCCATTTAGTTCGTTGATTTACCCATGAATAGCATGGTGATTTTCCATAGTGAACTGTTAGTTTACCAGAGGGTATCCATTATATCAAATGATATTTGATGGTTAAATAAGCTTCCCATGAAATCACCAAGTGGATGGACTGACCATCATATCCCACATATAACATGACTCAGCACCCATCCTATGTACATCCCACTAATAGCGCTGTCCGATGGCCCCTGCCATCCGCCGCACTTGCTGTGGCCCAAAATCCGTCGCCGCGAAGAAAATGGCGGTCCAATCGCCATGGATCCAGGGGCCGCCGGGGCCTGGTGCGAAATCTCACTTGGGGCCTGAGGATTCATGGGGATTCAGAACTGATGCCTGTTAACAAAAAACATGATTGTTTACCATGTATTAACATTCATAAATAACCTAAATACTCATAAATAACTGGGGATTATGAGTTCATAGACTGATGAGTAGGGATTCATGAAGAATATCAGCAACAAAGAAAGACATTGAAAAACCAAGAAGAATGGAAGTTGAATGAGGATATGAATGGACACAGATAATTAAGGGAATCTTAGTGGGGATTTGTAATTACCCTCCGGCAATCAAACATGGCTTGCTGGAAAATCCTGTATTTATAGATGATGTTTCCGTATAAAAAAAACCTCTATAAAAAGTGCAGGGAATCCGATGTGCCATGTGGCTGGTTGCCAAACGGTAGGTTAGTTAGTCGAGTTTAGAGTAGATTAGATGACTGATTTGATAGATGACTGATTGATAGATCGACCGAGATACATATGTATATATACATAATATATATATACATATGTAATCATATGTATATGAATCACACAGACACACCACAGTTGTTGCACCTGATTGATGTATCTTTCTTCAGACAGCACATATAGATACAGCATGATGATTGCCATATACTTCACCAATACTCTACTGTAGTACTCTAGGGCTTCTTCTCAGCAAAACATAGCACAACTATGTACTGAGATTCAAGCCTTGCTGACTTAGCTTTTGAACTTTGAGCAAGAGGATGGCATGGATTGACAAAGCATTGGGTTTAGGCTGTGCCAACTTTGAGATACGTTTGATCTGTTTGCTTTAGGGTCTTGGAACATGGAGATGGTTACACCAGAGTATTTGTAAGGATGCAACCCGAGTTCTCCACTCCTAAGGCATGTTGCAAAGGCAGTTTGGGCCCATAACCTCAAGTCGACTAGCCATGACTAAGGCTCAATCGTCCCAGTTCCAAGTTGTAACTTATGACCTCCGGGAGGTATTTGCATGGATGATTGGAAGGACATAATCCTAAACAGAATCCCAATATATATATATATATCCCAATCATGCCTGATCAAATCAAGTTGATGAGAAGACATAAAGGAAGTATTGCAACTGGTGGATCTGGTGGGCTACTCATCTGAACCCCATGTGTTGTCCGGGTTGTCCGGGTTATCCCTTGCTGGGACAAACCACAATGCCACTGGCCCTATCTCGCTCGAAAAAAAAACAAACATCATCCCGTCTCCCAAGCAATAAACATCCCATTGTGCAGTCCCAAACATGTTTTTTTCCATTCAATCCTGTATGGTTTCAGCTCCTGATCAATCCTGCGGGTCCATGCTCATCCCATAGAAATATACTGAATCCAACTTTTTACCATTTCACAATATACAATCTATTCCACACCATGAGCTTGCCAGACTAGGCTGCTCCCATTCCATCATTGATCCCAACCAATTGTAATACCCATAGGATCCATGGTGCTGCTATATATGGTAACATGGATCCCATCAATATACCCCAGTCATGTTAGCATATATACCAGCACCATGGATCACCATGGCTTCCCCTGGCCGGAGGGCCCGTTGCGGCCCGCTGCGCACCTGTCCTTCGCTGCGTCTGCAGGCCCATGGCGGAGCAATGGAGCAGCTGACGCATAGCACCTTAAAGCTTTGGTGATTTTATGGTGATTTAAGCAACACAAATATACAACAAATGATGATTTAAAATAGAGATATAATGGGGCATACCTTGGAATTTTCATGGGATATAATGGGAGGTACCCTCCGGTGTCATCAAACGCTTGGGAAATCTCCGACTTTGTGGAAGAATTGAAGATTTTGAACCAAAAATTGAAGTTTAACCATGTCTAAGCGTTCAACCACCAGACGATTGGGAAACTTTGTGGTTTAGTCACCAATTCTCCAAGAATCGAGGTCTTCTAATCACCAAGATTGAGGATATCTAACAGCCAAAAATGAGGTTGAACCACCAAAAGAACACGGGTTTGACGACCCAACGTTTGCCGGAAATGGCACATTCACCAGCAAGAAATGTTGGTGGCAATCTAACATGACTGTTATCTGCCACTTGCAAGTGATTCAGCGGGTGGACATGAGGAATCATATGAACTTGCAATTTTAGACTAAATGCGGCTACAATCCACCTACCTTATATGGACAGTAACATCAACTCCGGATTGGTTGATTCATCTGGTGGAGTACCATAATTAAGTATACAGCTGGAACATACTGGAACTACTGGCTGACAACGCAAAATCAGAAACAATATGGGAACCCCATAATCAGGTTTCATCTAGGGGTTAATAGTATTGTAACTACACTGTGATGCAACGGAAAAGGTGCAACCCACAAATCATGCGGGACACAATCGAAAGTAACAGGAAACAGATCACCGAAACGATGGATTGCGAAAGCAATATACGAGTACAAAATAAGCACTCAACCAAATGGCACTGGGAATACTTTTGAGCAATAACGATAGGAGAACAATCCAGGGAATATGCGTACACACAAACATACTCCATCTATCTCCATCTCATTATAGAACCAAATATATCGGCATCGCACCCAGCAGCATCAATCACCATGATTTCTTGAAGGCCAGTGCCAGGATGTCTGTACATCGTCCTGCTTGATCACAAGGGAAATCCAGAGCCATCCCCACTGCCATGAGGATTATGCGCCCAGTTGTTCCAGCTCCACCTTTTTCCGTTTCATCACCTTGGTATCAGTTCGAAAAACATGAAATCCCCTGGTGTTCACCACGGAGCTAAGATTTAGCTTCATCCCACTCAAAACATGTTTTTTTGGGTCATTTTTTGTAGGTTTTTGAAGCGGTAAATTGACACATCCCCACCTTGGTCAACATCGCAATGACCGCATCATACTTCGCCAGCGGCGCTGGATCCCATCGTTGTCGCGCTCGAGACTTCTCAACCACCAGGTCCAGCGGAGTTCGGCCCTCTGCGTCATGGTGCAGGACACTCGGAAGACACCTGGGGCGCTTTCCAACCGTAGATCATTCGTAAATCCCCATGAACTTCCCCTTTTCAAGGGCAGGACCAGCAATATCCAACGACTAGCAGATACCACTCATGTGGTAAACTCAGATAATTAGAAACCATCCCACAATCAGTCCATAATAACACCATAATCTATGGATTAGCACCATTAAATGATGGTCTTTACGATTAATCAATATGTCTCCACTATTCATCAATATAAATCTATGCGTTGTTTCCATTATGGGACCATAAATATGGTTACTAGTATGGTGTACATCATATAATATAATATAATATAATATAAAAAATAATAATATAATATAAGATAAAATAATATAATATAATATAATATAATATAATATAAAAAATATAATAATACATAATAATATATAATAATATATATATATATTATATATATATATGTATATATAGTATATATTTGTATATATATATATATAATCCCGATGGGATACATAGAATATGCCCGATTTCAACCCTACGGGTGTGGACAGAAAAAAAATACTTAGAATATTTGGGGTAGAAATATTTGGGGTAGAATTTTGGAGTGCATAAACAGTGCCAAAGCAAATACCATAGGAATAATGATATTCCCATATCGAAAACATGTGTGAAACCCAGCAGATTGAACATTTTTTGGGTTCTGGGTAATTTTTTTCATAGTTCTACGACACCAGTCGTGGGGGGTACCCTTTGGTGAGCCTGAAAAACTTATTTTTTAAATACAATATAAAAAGAAACTGGTCATTTCGGGTGACCTGTTTTTTTGTTGAAACGTTGTAGTTTAGGAACTTCAGACGTCCAGGGTTGCTACTCCCCAAAGGGAATTACATATATTATATACCCTTTTACATGAAAGAGACCCAATTCCTTGCAGAACTACATACATAGAATACAGGTCCCAAGTGAAAATATTCATCATTTTTTTTGAGGATCACCACCCAATTCCATTGGTTTTCATTGCAAAATAGTTTTTTTTTCATAGTTCTACGACACCAGTCGTGGGGGGTACCCTTCGGTGAGCCTGAAAAACTCATTTTTTTTATACAATATAAAAAGAAACTGGTCATTTCGGGGGACCTGTTTTTTTGTTGAAACGTTGTAGTTTAGGAACTTCAGACATCCAGGGTTGCTACTTGCCAAAGGGAATTACGGATATGATACATACCCTTATACATGAAAGAGACCCAATTCCTTGCAGAACTACATACATAGAATACAGGTCCCAAGTGAAAATATTCATCATTTTTTTTGAGGATCACCACCCAATTCCATTGGTTTTCATTGCAAAATATTTTTTTTTTCATAGTTCTACGACACCAGTTGTGGGGGGTACCCTTCGGTGAGCCTGAAAAATTCATTTTTTTAATACAATATAAAAAGAAACTGGTCATTTCGGGGGACCTGTTTTTTTGTTGAAACGTTGTAGTTTAGGAACTTCAGACATCCAGGGTTGCTACTTGCCAAAGGGAATTACGGATATGATACATACCCTTATACATGAAAGAGACCCAATTCCTTGCAGAACTACATACATAGAATACAGGTCCCAAGTGAAAATATTCATCAATTTTTTTGAGTATCACCACCCCATTCCATTGGTTTTCATTGCAAAATAGTTTTTTTTTCATAGTTCTACGACACCAGTCGTGGGGGGTACCCTTCGGTGAGCCTGAAAAACTCATTTTTTTAATACAAGTGACCTGTTTTTTTGTTGAAACGTTGTAGTTTAGGAACTTCAGACATCCAGGGTTGCTACTTGCCAAAGGGAATTACGGATATGATACATACCCTTATACATGGAAGAGACCCAATTCCTTGCAGAACTACATACATAGAATATAGGTCCCCAGTGAACATATGAATCATTTTTTTGAGGATCACCACCGAATTCCATTGGTTTTCATTGCAAAATATTTTTTTTTCATCGTTCTACGACACCAGTCGTGGGGGGTACCCTTCGGTGAGCCTGAAAAACTCATTTTTTTAATACAATATAAAAAGAAACTGGTCATTTCGGGTGATGCTTGAATCACGGGCGGCTGCAGAAATCCAGCAAAACCTGAGTTTTTTTTTTTCCCTGATCAAAATGGATAGCCGGAAATATTCTATGTATAGGTTTTTTTTTCGATTCCGGAAGATGCTTTTATTCTATGTATAGGTTTTTTTGACCGATTCCGGAAGATGCTTCTGGAGGCCGAAATTATCGATTCTGTATTCTATGTATGCCATCGAGATTATATATATATATGTATATAATTATATAGATACTGATGGCCCCAAGTGGTAGGTTTCTGGCACCTTGGATCCTGCAACAGGAGCTCCAGCAGGTCGCTACGCCCAGCCGCGCTGAAATGATGCAAAGCCGTTTGGTGGTTCGAGTCCACGGCATTCACCTGTGAAGACCATGGGATTTCCCATGGGATTTACCTGGTAAACGTTTACAGTTCACCATGAAAAATAATCACCATTTTTAATGGGTAAATGAACTAGGAAGCGCTTTTTTCCGGAGTACCAAACCCTAAACTCTGGAGTTAATGGAGCTGATTTCTAATACGCCGTCTTTACTCCTGAGTTTATGAGTGTCAGAATGTGCACATCAAGCTTCCATGTCTAAACTTCAAAGTCAATCCCCTCGCTCCAGCAACGCTTGCACAGCACTAAACTGCAGATTTTTGTCTCCATGGACTGTGCCCAAACGGCACCAGGTGCAAAAAAGCCAGTGAGTGGCTAAGCAAAATCAATCTGTTTCAGATTTCACTACAGCTTTCACATTGATGGGTACATGGTAGCACCCCTTCATAGTGCTGGAAAACAACATAGGCCAGCCACACAGGAGGGCCCCAAGCATCAGCAACTATTTGCGAAGGCGGCTCCAGCACTAACAAGGCTTCTTGTTCGTCTTCCCGGTCTGCCACTATGTGCACCTCACTGGTTGGCAGCTCTGCTTTTACGATGCGTGAAGATCTGTGTGAAAAGCTGTATTTCATATGGGTCTGCGATATCTACAAGCGCTATCAGGTAGTACTTGGACAAGTTCCCGAGCTGCTAGCGTTTCAAAACAGGAGGTTTGTATTGTTCAATCACTGCAGACCTGGCATTTTCTGCTTCCGTATTGCTTCTGGTTAATTCTTATTCACCTTTTAAAGTGATCCTCTCAGCCTGTTTTCAAAGTGCATGAAAAAGAACATTCTTCATCCATTGAACACATTGCAACCGAGCCACTGGTCTCAGTAACAAATGTGACAGGGCCATGCAGCATAGATCGTCACCCCAGCAACCTGTCCGGCTGAGCGCAGTCAAATACTGATCGTAGCTTGACCACCTCAGGTCAAACCACTCAGAAAACATTTCAGGAAATGTCTTCAAGTACGAGACGACCTCCTGCCGCAGGGCGAAAGGGTCCATGGCAATCCCAGCAGACCAAGCAGCCGCAGTAAATAGGCAGTCTCCAGCAGCCGTGACAGGAATGCGCTTCAAGGATTCTTGCTTCAAGCGACGATCGACCAGGCGCAGAGATGCTGCTCGCCGAGCTGCCTGCTCCGATGACTCTTGGAGAGTGAGACAGTTTCAATGCCAAATCTATTTGCTGTTGGTCCCAACTTTGTCTGGCGGCATCGAACATATCCTGCATGTCCTCGAACAGGTGCTTGACTCCATCATGTGCCAGTTCACGATAATGTTGCTGACAGTAATTGCCAGTGACACGCTTCCGAAGGCATCGCGTACCACTCTTGGTGGCAGCCATGCACCCAGCTCCATTGTCTGAATCTTTGGCAGCGACGCACGAGAGTACATGTGCTTGCTTCAGATGGAAGTCCAGGCAAAAAAGAGGCTGCATTCCATACCACAGGATGATTTGCGGACGACGGATTGGAAGGAGTCACCTGCGACGACTGCGGTGGCTTCAGCATGGCTTTTGTCTTCTCACTGCAACGCCTCCTAGGCTTTTTCTTCTGCCCTTTGGCTTTCGAGCTCGGACCTTGCGGAATGGCAGTGATAAAACCCTTGGAATCCACCGCTTGTCCGATAAAGACGACATGCTCGGTCCATCCAGCCCCTTGCTGAAAGTGACGATGCTGGTCTATGATCTTGCCAGATTCTTCGACAAAGATGCACACATAAGCCTGTCTCAAATGCATATGTCGAAACCTAAGCGCAAAGGTCTACCCGGCTCGATAAAAAGCAATGCGTGACATAAGCCATACCTTCAGCGTCAAATGTTTTATCAGCAAACATGAAACACCATGGGCCGACTTCCAGAAAACGTGGGCAAAAGCGATACAACTTCTTCGTGTGAACCCTAGACAACTTCCTCAAGCAGCTCCACCAAAGTGCCGGGTATGTCTCAACGACGAAAAAGCAGCACAGCAGCACAACAGTGGAGCACCGCAGCACAACGGAGCCACATGATCATTCACAGCCACAAGCAGTTCGAAAGCTGTTTCACCTCAAGCCTATACTCCGGAGAGAATGGACACTGCAGTACCCAATGAGAACACTAAACTCTGGAGCTTCGTGAGAATGCAGTAGAGGAGAAGAAATCTTTTCTTCAGAAAAAAGACATTGTGAAAGCATATCACAAGTTTGCAATTTCCTCCACAGAAAATACATGCCTATAAGTTAAGCCTATAAGTGCAAACCTTTGTCCAAACCTAAACTCCCGAGAGTAGCCATTGTAAGTCCAAGGCACTGAACTCTAGAGAGAAGTGAACTGTACAAAGAAATATACAAACACTAAACTCTATAGTTTAGAACTTGAACTCTGGATTTTAGTCATTTTCAATGAACTACATGGCCATTTTTCCATAGCTATGCTACAGTAGTTTACCAGAGGGTATAGCTAGTCATGTGGATAGCAGCAATGGGATACCATGGGATCTTACCCTCTGGTAATGACTAACATAGCGAACTGGAAAATCACCATTTTCAATGGGTAAATCCACTATTTCAATGGCCATTTTCAATAGCTATGTTAAATTACCAGAGGGTAAGGTTTGAATAGGAAACAACTATGGGTCTGGGTACAAATCTGAATTTCTGGACAAAAAGGGAATGGTCAGTTGAGATTGACCATCCCACTGTTATGAATTTGAGTTCCCAATTTTGACCGCACAGCCACCTCCAAGTCAGGTCGTTGCAGAAGCATCTTCAACATCTGGACTTGTCTTGCAGCAATCTGTTTCAGCTTCACAGCTTCTTTCTCACCTTGCTTTGTTGATGCACAGCTAAAATGGTTCGAGTGGGATATGTTGTAAATCATGGCAAATCATGGTAAATCATGGTAAATCCATCTTTTGGAGCAACAAAAAACATACAAAAACAACCAATTCGAAACTTAAGAACTCACAGCGAGCTCCAGTCACCAACTTCAATGGTCAAGGAGTCCATGCCACTCAAGCACATCAAGGCTGAGGTGCCATCCGATCTCTGCAAGTTGATATCTAAGGTGTCATGCTGCAAGAGCCAAGCCTGGGATAAAACATGTGAAACAGAGGAAACAGAGAAAACATGAGGAAACCCAGTTGAGATTCCCAACAAAATGATGGAATCACGGAAACAAAAACTAGAGAATCACATATAATATCATATAATCACCTCCAAGAAGCTGCCAGATCTGTTGCCACGGGATCTGTGCGCCTCATGGCGCAATGGAGGAGGCCGCAGGGGTCGTTGATGTCTAAGTTGGGATGGTCCAACAACAAACGCATCATCTCAACGCTTGCGAAGCGCGCGGCCGTGCCGATGGGGCAACTTTCGTGGACATCCAGATCTTCGTGGTTCAAGATGGCCTCCACTAACTGGACGTTGGATTGGGGGTCGAGGACCATGCGGCACAAAATGCTGAAACCATTGGTGTCCTTGACGTTCACATCAATCTTCGGATGAGCAAGTAGAACTTTAGCCACTTCAGGACTTGTGGTGCGACAGAGTGGATGGTTGGGGTTCACCATGAAGTGGATATGGTTCGGATCAGCACCTTGGTCCAACAATGACTGCACTTGTTGCGCATCATTGGCTTGAGCGGCTGCTGACATCTGATCACCCAGCCATACCATGGGATCCCTCCGCGCCTTCTCAATCCCCATGGCACGCCATCGCGGCCCCGGCCCGGCGCAGGAAATGCGTTCGTGGACGCGTTCATCGTCCAGTCCCAAACGAAGCATGGCAGCCATGGGGTCTCGGGGCTGATCTGACCGGGTCAGTCCAGAGAGCTGTCGCGATGTCATGGAGCTTGCTGGAAAGCAAGGCCAAGGTGCCAAGGCCAAGGCCACAAGGCCAAGGCTGGAGATGGTGCTCAAGCCAAAATCACAATCGTGCCAAGTGGAGTCACAAACAAACAAAAAACTACAGTAAACACACACACACACAAAAAAAAAAAAACTGCAGAAGCACATCATGTTCGGGACCAAGAGTCCTTGAGATGCAAGTGGCAGGGGATCCAGTTGGAACCTCCAGGATCAGCACCAAACTATGACACCGCACGATTTCTGTTCACTTCGTATGTTCGAAACGGTTACCTGCTACAATGTGGCACAGTGCCAGATGGTGCCAGCATGTACCGGCTACTGAATAAAAGTGGTGCTTCAAACGTCACATCCCCAGGCAGCTTGTATCTGGACACAATACTGTAATTCCCAGACTGGAAATCAGCAAGGTTGGGTGATACCCCTTCAATACCAGCATTTACCAACCATGAAGTAGGGTCAAGTTATTGTGAGGTATCAACTATTACCTGCCATTTGCCCTGCCATTTTCCAACCATCAACTATTCAATTTGCATCAATTTGCCCAGTTCTGTGCTACCATGACGCTGCCAGCCAACCATTATTTATACTTCTTTATAACAGATATCACTTATATCCATAGTTTGATGGTCTTTAAGGTACCATTAAACCACTATAATTATATACTATAATCATCTATAATCAACTAACAGCCATTCATGAGGGAAGGCACAGGTATCTCTGAACGCCGGCGAGGGCGACATGAAGTTGTGGTATGACCGAAGACCTTTGCCTTGGCGAAAAATAGGGATCCAATTCTTATGGGTAAATCCTTGGGAAATCTGGTGAAAACATGGAGGTTTATAGCTGGTGAACCCCACACCGTACGGTACACCCAACGGTACCCCGTAATTACCCTCCATCTTTCAGCAACGGTGGGTTGCAAGGCTTGGGGAATCCAACATGTTGGGACAGACATGCCCATGTTATCTGTAGTACTGAAACAGTTTACTGAAACAGTTTACTTGTACTGCCGCTATCAGGATATCTATGGATATCTAATCATTCTTCAATAAGATGCCTGGGGAAACTCCAACCTCTAGCCGACTCTAGCGTTTCAAGCACGGCCTCCCAGCAAATCGCAAGGCAATCCTGGGCCTTTCGCAATGCGTTTTTATCCCATCGAAGAGGTCAAACATGCGATGCCCCATTCAACTTCTTTAGACTTGCAATGGACAAACCAAATTTACTATTAAGACTAAGATTTGTATTGTGTACATTCTGGGTGAAAACCAACCAATATATGAGTGAGACAAAACCTGCCTGAACATGAATGAGCATGAGACAATGAGACAATCAAATGAAATGTACGGACCCCTGTCTTGGGCGAAGGTTTCAAACTTGGCGACCAAAAGAGCACTGTATCTCAATCCATCTCAATCCCAGTTGCGCGCGCAAGGCCCACCCTTCAGCTCCTTTCATTGCGACCAGAACGGCGGGTGAGTGCTGCAAGATCCACACACTCGGTACAGTAATCTGCCACTTGTCACTTCTCTGTCACTGCTAACCCTGCCGTCCTTCAAAGCACTCCGCACCCGTCGATGCACCTCAAACTTTGCCAAGGCTTCCGACCTTAGACTATCACCACCAATGGATTGCTGGGTAGCACCAAATCACAATCAAATGAGACCCAAGTTGAAGGTGCCGTTTTCTTTTTCTATCATCATAGTTGTAAAACATGAGTACTTTTAAACATGTCGGCCAAACAAAATGGAGTCCAACATCACACATTAACTTCATTTGCACTTATTTACCAACTCTTTGTATCAATCACTTCAGGCAGGTAGCTGCTTTTTACTGACCCTTTCGTCACAGGTCGGCATTAATCAAGGGTCAATATGATGTCTCAGAAATTCCTTCCCATTTTTCAAAGGCCTCGTGCGATGTTGGACGGTCAGCAACTGTGCCATCAAGCTGCAATGGTGCTGCACTCAGCACATTTCCTGGGAGCACGAGGTCGTCCTTGTTTACTAAGAATATTATAAGAGTCATAAAGATAGTATACATGTGTTTCAAGGCTTACTTCATTAGGAGCGCAGGAACGAAAGTGCATCACCATGAGAAAGGTCAATAATATTGTGTTCAATGTGATTTTCTTTAGCTTCAAGGAACCTCAGTCAGGGTTTGTCTAGAAATAGATAGAGATGAATCAAAAGTCCCATTGTTTCCTATGTGTATCAATGTGCAATTTTGTTTCCAATGTTTTCCATCTAAATGGCCACAAAATTCTGGACTTGGTGTTGTCTCCATTCTTCATTGGTGACAGCCCATTTTGATCACACTCAGGCGATCCGATATTTTGAAATTACACCCCCTAAGTGAAATCCCCCTAAATTGAACATCAACAAACCCCAATGATACCCTCTGGTAAACATACAAACAACTATAGAAAAATACCATTTTTCATGGGAAAATCCGTGAAAATCCACTATAAATGGTGGTTTTCCATAGTTTTTTGTATGTTTACCCAGGCCGGGTCAATTTCGGGGCTCACAAAACATGGTGGTTACACCTGCAGGCCGTGGCAGCCAGGCTGCCATGTTGCCGCCCAGCATCCGTACCATTCCAAGCCCTGGAGCCTTTGCAAAGCTTGCTCTGTGGCCTTCTCATCAGACATCCTGACCTCAGGGGACGATCCAAGAGATGCCCATAGGGCCATAGGGTCGTCCCGGGGAGCTGGCTGAGCCATGATCCAATCTGCTTGGTGGTATACCTACCAAGAATGGGATTATAGTGATAATAGTGGTTATAATAGCAATAATAGTGGTTATATTAATGGTTATATGATGGGATTATACATAGATATAACATAACTGGTTGGTGGTTTCAACCTACCCCTCTGAAAAATATGACTTCGTCAGTTGGGATGATGACATTCAGTATTCCCAATATATTGAAAAATCAAAAATGTTCCAAACCACCAATCAGCAATTCTGATGAGCCAAAATCATCTGTTCTGATCATCATGTCATTAGAGGATTATGGATCCTCTGGAGTGAGATTTGCGAAAATGATACCCTCTGGTCAGACTCTGGTAATTTAACATAGCTATGGAAAATCACCATTTTTAATGGGAAAATCCACTATAAATGGCCATTTTCAATAGCTATGTTAAATTACCAGAGGGTAAGCCACAAGCCATTTCGAGGGGCATGATGGGATAAAAGGTGATGCCCGTCAAGTGGATCTGGTTCAGCAAAATAAGGTACACTACACTGCACTGGTTGAATCACAAATGTGAGGTCATGCTCAGCACTAAACCATCCAACTTCAAGGCGAAATTTGAGTCATAGCCAAGTAAACATGTTCATGTAAGACTATCTGTACCCTCTGATATCATGAAGTTTCAACAACAATCAACAGGCATTCCATCCGATACCAGTTGTCCCACTGTACAGCGGTTGCCTGCACATGTCCTCTGCCCTTTTCGAAGTCCACGTCTTTGGCAGACACATTCCTGGGGCCGTGAAGATATTTCAGCCATGACCACGAGCCACAAGTGCCATGGTCAAGTTAGGGATGGATGTCATCCCACTATCAGTAGGAAATCTGAGATACTCATGGATATATGCACCGTTATCAATGATGATCTGACCATCCCTTTCTTTGGGGAAAAATACCAACGTGTGATGGGAAGAAATCCCCGAATCCACATCGGTTCGGCATCTCCCCATTCATGGTTTGATGCCTTTCCCGGCGGCCATGGTGCATGGTGTATTACGGATTTATAGAGTTAACCCCCAAGAAACACATTCCAAATATTACTGGTTGGTGGTTGAGCCCTACCCCTCTGAAAAATGATGGAGTGAAAGTCAGTTGGGATGATGAAATTCCCAATATATGGAACAAAAATGTTCCAATCCACCAACCAGAATATATGTTGTGGAATATCTGTTAGATCGAACATAGACAGTATCTAGTGTATAATCTGGTTTACAAGTACATAAGATATGTTCCACACATGTCCCTCACGACCCTGGTATGCTAAATGCGCTGGATGTTTGTCTCCCCATTCAGATGGTCCCGGACGGCAATTTGTCCGACTCATCGCGGAAAATTCACGTCGTCAGTTTTGCCGAAGAAAAATCCCAGTGGTTGATCATCATATTTGTTTGATATGTTCCTCATAATCATATTCGATCATCATATCTGATCATCATATCTGATCATCATATATAATCGTATTTGCTACTTAAATCCCCATGTATTTCGTTTGATATCTTCCAACTATTGTATTCCAAAGATGTCGAAACATCTGCTGGGAAATGTCCAACCATCATATGACTGGCTGGTTTACATATTCAATATACTGGTAATTGATACTCACAGATTTCATGGATTTGGTTGATGGGAAATGCTGTTGTCATGAATAGTTCATGGGGATTATCATAAAGATTCTCATCGTAGTTCCATCAAGAAAATCCTCACAAATATCAATGTTTGAGGACTAACTCCCATTTTTTGCTCCTGATTTACCAATTCTCTTGGTTTGGTATATATATATATTAATAATATTATACAATATTATATAATATTCTACTTATTATATATTATAATTCCATATAATATATATATATATATATTGGTTATATATTGGTTATATACTATAATTCCATATTCGAAACATGTCCAGACATTTCAAGTGTCACTTTCAGACTTTGCAGCAGCTCCAGGACCTCCTCAACACTACAGGCATCATGGACTGGACCAAACCTCCGCCGGCTGAAACGCTGAAGCTTTGAGGATTTCGGAAACATGAGGCGATGACTTGAAAACACCAAGAAAACTGTGGAGATGCACGGTGCTGCAGCTATATAGGCTATATGCATAGTACATATTGTGTCATTGCATTGTAACTAATAATTACTAATTGCCATCTGGTTATTTAACATAGCCATGGAAAATCACCATTTTTAATAGGTAAACTATAAATGGGCCATTTTCCATGGCTATGTTAAATAACCAGAGGGTACATCTAATCACTATGTTACAATGGTGGGACATCCCAGGGAACATACCACACAAGACTTGAGCTAGTCACCACTTTTTACCAGAGACCAATTGGGTTGATAGATTCAGTTGTTAACCAAGTAGAGGCCTATGTCACCTATGATGAATCCGAGTCAATGAAATTGAATTGCAGTATATTGAGCAGAGTCTATAATCGTGGGGAGACATCACACCACATAACTGGCGTCATGGACAGTGCTGCAACAGTTATGCTGCAAACATGAGCGAAGGAGGTCAAGTTTTTGCTGAGTTCGCTTTTTTTTCCTTCGAAAAGGTTGGTGACCAATCACACTTAGATTTTGCCCAGCATATCCCCCAGTATCCCCCAGGCCCAAACGCTGTTGGCAACCGAGCAACCATAAACCTCCTGCTTGGCACGGAACGCGGATGAAGTGGCAACCGAGTCAAGCGAACGGAAACGATTGGTGTTAAGGACCTCTATTGACTGGAATGATACCAATCTCAAGAAGCATCTTTCTTGCTAGTTACTAGTGTGTATCTAACCATGGCCATTCAGCATCTCCATGCATGATTTCGAAGCTATGGGTGGAACCAGTTGGCATGTCTGGTGACCATGGGACGTGGCGGACCCGATGGTAAACCTGCCTCAGGTTTGCCAGAAATTGGCCGTTAATAAACATCAACTGATGGTATTCCATTGAGGCCACATTCGACAATTGGAATATCCAATTGAATTCTGACTAGTGCCATTGAATGATGCATTAAACCACCATTTTTGTTGAAACGTACCACAACTGATCATAAATCCCTTTTCAAATACCACAAATGATCATAAATCCCTTCAAAATACCACAACTGATCATAAATCCCTTTCAAATACCACAACTGATCATAGATCCCTTTAAATACCACAACTGATCATAAATCCCTTTTCAAATACCACAACTGATCATAAATCCCTTTAAACACCACAACTGATCATAGATCCCTTCAAAACACCACAACCGGTCATAAATCCCTTTTCAAATACCAGAACTGATCATAAATCCCTTTCAAATACCATAAATGATCATAAATCCCTTTCAAATACCACAACTGATCATAAATCCCTTTCAAATACCACAACTGATCATAAATCCCTTCAAAACACCACAACTGATCATAAATCCCTTCAAAATACCACAACTGATCCTAAATCCCTTTCAAATACCACAACTGATTTTAGATCCCTTTAAATACCACAACTGATCATAAATCCCTTTTCAAATACCACAACTGATCATAGATCCCTTTAAATACCACAACTGAACATAAATCCCTTTCAAATACCACAACTGATCATAAATCCCTTTAAATACCACAACTGATCATAAATCCCTGTTCAAATACCACAACTGATCCTAAATCCCTTTAAATACCACAACTGATTCTAGATCCCTTCAAAGCACCACAACTGATCATAAATCCCTTTTCAAATACCACAACTGATCATAGATCCCTTCAAAACACCACAACTGACCATAAATCCCTTTTCAAATACCACAACTGATCATAGATCCCTTTCAAATACCACAACTGATCATAGATCCCTTCAAAACACCACAACTGATCATAAATCCCTTTTCAAATACCACAACTGATCATAAATCCCTTTTCAAATACCACAACTGATCATAAATCCCTTTCAAATACCACAACTGATCATAAACCCCTTCAAAACACCACAACTGATCATAAATCCCTTTTCAAATACCACAACTGATCATAAATCCCTTTCAAATACCACAACTGATCATAGATCCCTTCAAAACACCACAACTGATCATAAATCCCTTTTCAAATACCACAACTGATCATAGATCCCTTCAAAACACCACAACCGGTCATAAATCCCTTCAAAACACCACAACTGACCATAAATCCCTTTTCAAATACCACAACTGATCATAGATCCCTGTCAAATACCACAACTGATCATAGATCCCTTCAAAACACCACAACTGATCATAAATCCCTTTTCAAATACCACAACTGATCATTTGTGTTTGGTAATTACCAGCCATGCCAGCACTATCCAGCACTCCTAAGGGTGGAACATCTCCACACCAGACCTCCCGTTCTGACCTGGGCGAGGCAACCACATACATCCCATAGTGGGAATCCAAAGATCCTAGGGGGAAAATATGGTTAAATGATGGTTACCCTCTGGTAAACTAACATAGCTATTGAAGCCATGGCCCAGTCGAAATAGTGAAATAGTGGATTTACCCATTACAAGCATGGTGATTGTCCATAGTTATGTTAGTTTACCAGAGGGTAAATCATGGGTTAATATCGAACGATTTTTTCTTGGATCATGGCTAATCAAACATTCATCACCATAGTGGACATGCAAACATTGTGTCTAAATTGGACATAGAATAGATTGATGACCATCCCCCAATATGGATATACAATCCAACTTTTGACACGCAGCATGTAGACTAGAGTCAACTACACTCACTTGCAGGCTCGGATGGCGGGCACAAATGATCCATTGTGAAATGAACATGTCACGCAAATATCCTGTACACAACAGGTCACCACAGGCAAAAAAGTGGTACATCAAATTCCGAATTAACCATGGCATGCATGACCTATACTTCTGGAGCTGCAAGTGTAGCTTAAATTCATGTTAATGCATTTTGCAAGGTCTGATTCTAGGTTCAACCATGTTCAACCCTGTGGCCCTCTTAATCAAAAGCAGCAATTGTCAAGACTTTTTTAAACAGCAGGACTAGTTTTGTACTAGGTGGTGGCTTTTAAATCTTCTCAAGAGATACATCCTCATCAAAAAGAGTTGAGTTCGGTCATGGGGCAATGTCCTAGTAAGAGCACAAAGTACAGATATCACACCATTTTGACTTTAGCTATCAGGGACAGCTCTTTGTTTCCAGCGCTCCACGAGCATCATTTCTAATCATAAACGTCAGAAACCATCAATTTTTAGGGTTTCCAAGTTTCAGAAACACCCAACTGCTGTCATTGGAGCCCATACCTTGTGATCAAGGCGAAGTATGGGATGTGAACCGCAAAGGTCTTCCGCCTTTGACGCACGCTCGCGATGGAGAATCATCCCATATATCAGCCATATCCAACGCCAAGAAATGCGGGTTTCTTGAAATGGGGAGTACCACAATTTCATTCAACATGTGTGTTGTTTTCCATTGGGAAAACCAATTGGTCTTGGGGGAGTGGGATGAATTTTAAAAGACACAGTCCTGCTAAGTCGTCGTTTCTTTCCATATGTATATATATATATGTATGTATGTTTCATGAGTTCTCCACTTATGCTCAATGGCGGTGGCATGGTCAGCGGAGCCACTCAGAATTCTAAGTCTAAGCTTACTAGATATGGTGCCTTAAATAATCTAAGAAAATAACATAAATCCAAGAATGTTCCAACAAATGTCCACCTTTTTTGTGGGAAGAACCCCCAGAATGTCAGAAGTTTTTTTTTTGGTGTGGTGTTGTTGCTTCGTGTCATATGCTGTTTCCAATTGGTTGATATGGTGCACTTGTTGCTCAGTGTTGTTGCTGGCCCATGGCGTATTCCCATGTATTCCCCACAGTTGTTGCTTAACATCAACCTTTTTTTTTGTTCACAAGCAAAGCCATATTAGTTGAACACAGTTTAACACATCTGTGTTGGGTTCTTGGGTAGAACAAATCTCATATTCCCGAGTGTTCTTGATTGGTTATATTTCTGGTTTCATGACCCGTGTCATATTACACAAAGTGACATGTGAAACATCCTGCAATGCGGTAAAATCGCGCAATGGCCTCTCCAGTTAGACCTTACATTGAACCCCGCATTTAAGCAAAGACATAAATCCCAACAATGTTAACCCTATCCTTTTCTATGGGTGGCTCTTCTCTATTGTTGGTTAGACACCTATATCACATTGTTTGGGGGGTCAAACACATTTGTTTGGCGATAGAGAATACATGGCAATTTGTATATGAACTATCTCATTGAACTACGTTCTTCATGGTACTTCCACATTTAACCAGGTACTTTTTTTGTTTAAGAAAAAACATATAAATGTGTATATATGAATAAAATATGTATATATATATGTGTATGTATATCATATAACATATACAATAATAATCAGCATCTGTTTGAGTGGGTGATAATTATTCCATATCTCCACGCTGCGAAACAGTTTGTATATTTCGATGACCAAAACAAGTGCTTGTAAAAAACAATAATAATAAACAACTCATGGTCGTCACATAATCATGTATATGGTTGTGTATCACCAATTTTGTTGACGGTATCTTGCATGCTCCGAGCATTGCCTTGCAGTAACTGGAAAGGGGAACAAAACAAAAAAAAACAAGTTTAGAGTTAAGACTCCTCCAAACTTGAACTATGGCAACTATGGGAACAAAGAAACACAAACTGGTTGGTGGTATACCTACCCCTCTGAAAACATATTAGTCAAATGGGATAATTATTCCCAATATATGGGAAAAACATATAAACTGTTCCAAACCACCAGCCAGAATAAGACCCCTCCAAACTTGAACTATGGTTGTCACTTCCAGTTGGGATGTCATGGCCAACTATGGTGAGCACCATAGGTTTCCCTAACATGGCTTGTCCTATAACAGATTAGCTAGATTTAGCTAGTAATAAGTTCCAACAAAGCGTATAATTACTATTGTTCTTGGCTCAACATGCACCTGGTAATATGCACCAATTAAAATTAAACTGGTAATATGCACCAATTAAACCAATCAAATCAAACCAATCAATAGTTGTTTATTGTATAAATGGTTATAATTACTATTGGTTGGTTTATGATAAATGTATATAAATGTATATAAATGTATATTCATGTACTATTTTCATGTACTATAGGTGGTGATAGATTGTTCTTGGCTCACCTTGGTGCATAGATCTTTTCGAAGATGGACGACTGCGGCTTCTCCGCCAGAACCTTGGGCGAAGAGAGCAGCCGCAGCTCGGTGGCAGCGAGGGCATCGCGCAGGTCCTGGGATTTTTTTTTGGAGGGGGTTCAGCTTCAAAAATAACTGCCTGGTGGTATACCTACAATAATGGGATAAGAATAATAGTGGTTATAATACCAATAATAGTTGTTATATTAATGATTGTATGATGGGATTATAAATAGATATAACATAATAACTGGTTGGTGGTTTCAATCCCTCTGAAAAATATGAAAGTCAGTTGGGATGATTATTCCTAATATATGTAAAAATAAAAAATGTTCCAAACCACCAACCAGATAAAGTTTAACATGGGGTATAAGCCATATTTAGAATATGAAATAGAATGAGGTTTAACACCCACCAGAAATGAGGCTAGCTTATCCATCAGAAATGAGGAACAAAAAGCAATCAAGAATTGGGTTTAACACCATTAAAAGAGGAGGGGTTGAATACGGTTTAACCATGAAAACTTGGAGGGATTGACAAAAACTATCATGCAACACAAGCCGATAAAAATGAGGTTAAACTGACAACAATATGGGGGCCTAACACCATTCACTATCACAAAACAGAGCTGTCAAAAGTAGTGTCTGTTATTCGAGATTGTGTTTTGTGGAACAGTCCCCCCCTGATGAGTCGTTGGGATACTGACTCTGAAGTTTAACACCTCGAGATATCCTGGCCGACGCACATAGTCTGAGGCTCTTCTTCGTTGAGAACACAGGGCTTCACGGTCACAATGATGACATTTTCGGCAGCATGAAAGCCTGGTGGAATGAACCCATCAGCTGCTCAGCAGCTGTTTCGGAAGATGTGGGAAACTGTCCGAAAATGGGGTATAGCCGGTATACCCCAAAATAGCATAAAATAGCTAGTTTATGCTAGTTTCATTGGAAAATGATGACGAGTTTTGCTTGGCTTGTCACCCAGTTTCCAACCGCAGCTACTACCTTCAATCATCATCCAGCTGGATTTGTTCACATCTGCAGTATCCCCAATAGCCATGCCAATCAGAAAAAACAAACAAGATCAAGTTCCCACAAGATTTGAACATATTTAAAAACATCCAGGCGATCTATTTTATAGAGATTTTTCCATTGAACATATTTAAAACTATTTTATGAAATTCCCCAACATCTCCTTTTATTCAACTAACTCTGGAACCTGTCGACAACATCAGACCACCGAGACCCCCGGGCCTCGCTCGGTGCGGGCGCCCCGCACCACGCCCAGCGGCTCCAGCTGCGCCGTGCGAAGCGCCTCCAGCAGCGCGCCCTCCACGCTGCGCTGCAGCGCTTCGTCGCGGTCGTTCTGCAGCGCGCTGCAACGGTACCGCGAACCTCGGTGAAGACCCTGGGACCCTAACGGTGGGGGATGGTTCAAGAATGTTCAAGGGCTTTCTCCCAAGAAGTTGCGGTGATTTTGGGCTTTTGAATGTTTCTAATGATGGAATCATCGAGTTATCTCCAAAAAGATAGAAAAGTAAATCATGAAATGAGCGGGGATGTGCGTTTCTATCTGTTTGGGGATGACTATAAAAGTGTAGTATATTATATATTGTGTCATGTCCAGGAAATTTCAATATTTCAATATTTCAGTTATGAAGATGGTAGTTCCAAACGTGGGGGTTATATCCTTGATTGATCTTGATTGTCCCAAATGGTACAGTAATGGGTTGTATGGTACCTCCCCAAATTGATGATCACAGTTTTAAGTTGCAACTGGATGAGAACAACACCATTTAGATCAATTGTTGGTTGGGGGACGTTTTTTTTTTGGTGGGCCTTGGAAGCAATAGTCAAGGTAGTTGGTATTCAAGACAGAGAAATGTTCAGAATTCAGAAGCCAACTCTATAATGTGCGATATGTGTAGTGTAGTGGAACAAAAGTACTGCAACGATCTATTCAAGAAACATGGCGATGTATGCAACATCAGGAATAGAGAAACACCATTCTTTTTTAACACTGCTGCTGCCTATAATTGGCCATGAATACTGCCAACAACAGAGACCTACCACGGACCGTGGCTCTTGAACATGGGACAGCAGGCACTTGGTGGTTCTAGGGTTCTGTATATATGATACACAATCAGGCAATTTTGTTGGTATAGCAGTTGAGATGTTCCCAGCTGTATGAATGAAAGGGTTAAAGAAGCGTTGAGCAAAGGACTGTCGAATCATGGTCTAAAAGCAAAGAGTAGCAAGAAGAAGGGAACAAAACTAGTGATAGCACGCAACACACGGACACACAAGTAGCACTAGTCGAATCAATCATAAACAAGTTGAAATGTATCGGTATGATTTACATATACAAATTGCCACACCAGTTGGTGCAAGCTCCAATCAGCAAGTCTCTGATGGTCTTTGCTCAGCGGCCCAAATAGCCAACGCAGAACAGGATTCTCTCCTGCGCATACTGAGGGACACCCAGCTTTGAGCACCGGTGGCAATGGCAAAAAAAACGTGGGTAGAAGGCACAGGCAAAAGCAAAGGTTCTTAAAGTCTTAAAGGAACCAAGGGAATGAAAACGTTCCACAAACACTGAGGACAAATCTAATAACAGGCATAATCATTTGCAAGAATTGGATGAATAATATGAATAATAGAAATCTAAATTCATTATAGATTAGACATCCTCAGTCAATTGCATTCAATTGATTTGTGCAGGCGTAACATAATGTATCAAGCGATCGAAGGATCAATCGATCGAATTCTTTGACTCTCACCAATACACTAGAATTTGGAATCCAATCCCAACATATGTGTGAATTTGATTGATAATCCCACATACTTTTAAATATAATCCCAACATAACTGCTTGGTGGTATACCTACGCCTCTGAAAAATATGAGTTCGTCAGTTGGGATGATGACATTCCCAATATTTATGGAAAAAAAATAATGTTCCAAACCACCAACCAAATATGTTATGTCCAATATGTTCCCATGATATTCCCATTAAAACCTCCAGTCAATGGCCAGGAGAATAATGTGAAACGGACACACAAAAACGCATAAAACCATCAGCTGATTGAAGGGCATTTCCGTCTGCCCAGTTGAGCAGTGTTCGAAACCCCACATCTTATTCCATTGTACTGCTTGGATGATAGGGAAATTCCATGAATCAAGATAATCCATGAGAATTCCCAGTATGTCTATGTATATATATATATAAGGTATATATAGATATATATATATAAAGGGGTGAAAATACTCAACAATCCCCACTATATCGTGGGTTGATTTGGCTTGATCTCGTCCCCGAACTAATCAACAAACGTTGGGCGTGTTTTCGCAGCTGAGGCATCGCTCGGCTCCTTGCCCTCCTTCACTTTGGCGGCCAAAGGATCGCACTTCGCCGCAAGGTGTTTGAAGAGCGCATTTCCTCAGTTCGACCATGGCGTTTTGAGCGAACCAAACCCACCAGTCAACTAGTTAGTGGTTGGTTAAACATGGACAAAATGGGTGAAATTGGGATTTGACAAATTTGATGATACAGGTATGATATTGCAAAATTGTGTCACTCTTGGGGTGTTAGTTCAACTTCGCAGCTCTTACTTTATGGGAAAGTAGATTGTTCATCAGGTCTCAACGTCTTTGCCATTAGCCTTGGGACAAGTTGCGAGACGGGCATTCTTCGCCGCAATGTTCACACTTGTGGATCTTGTGGTTCCCTGTCCCGCTAGGAAAAAAGTGTGCGGATGGATTGAGATGGGCAAAGTGACACAAGTTTGATTATGGGTTTGTCTGAAAATTTAGGGGAAAACCCCAAAATCCAATGCTTAATCAGCATTTTCCCATTCAAATTGTACTGGCCACAACTGTGGGTATCCCCTGCCTGGCACAGCGACCCCATTCGTCTCGGCAGGCATGCTTCGCACACGCCATGGCTAACCCCACCTCAACAACCTTTGGACTTGTGGATTCAGTGGCCAATTCCGTGGTGTATTCCAATGTATTCCAGTGGAAGGATTTTCCCAATATAATAACCTCAATGGCATATTCCAATGTATTCCAATGGTGTATTCCCAATATATATAGATAGATAGATATATAGATATATAAATATATATATATAGAACTAATACACGAATATCCAACAAATTCCAATGTTTCAACTTTCGGAAGGATTTTCTGGATTGAGGCTTGATTCACATGCTGGTGAAGCCATCAAGCGTGACGCCACCTGGAACTGAGTTGAGCCCAGTGAAATTCACTGGAACGGGTCACAGGGAGGTGGAAATTGGGGAGCCACCAGAAGCAAAAACCAAACTGAGTTTGGAATAAATTAGTCCAAATTTGTGACTTCAAAGGCAGAAGGATACAAATATATAATATATAATATATCTTAGAATGGCATGGGGTATGTTACTGCTAGAGGTCTTTTTGGCCATATATGCACCCTAAGGGAACCCCATCACAAACCCAAAAGAGACTAAAGTAAGCTAATAAAAACCCATTGAAAACCTATGGGAGTTTAGTGGGGAACTTTGTGTTTTGTTTGTTTTTGTCTTAGTTTTTTAAAGGTTTTTATTTGTTTTTTGATGTGGGTGCAGCCCATTTTTGGGAATTTGTTGGGTTTTTGTTAGCTTTTCTTAGGTTTCATTGGGTTTGTGCTGGTGGTGCAGCCCATTCTTGGGAATTGGTTGGGAATTGTTTGGAAATCAGTTGGTGATCCCTTGGATGTGCTTGGCCCATTTTCGGGAATTATTTAGGTTTTTGTGGGAATTAGCTAGGTTTTTGTGGGGATAAGTTAGGTTTTGTTGGTGGTTCAATGGGATTATGTGGGAGCCTTTAGGGTTTCTCCAGGGTTTTGATTGGGAATCCATTGGGCCTAGAAAAGGCTAAAAGGCTCTTAGCAGAAACATAGTGCAAGCCGTTCTATGAATATAAAATATATAATATATAATATATAATATATAATATATAATATATAATATATAATATATAATATATAATACATAATATATAATATATAATATATAATATATAATATATAATATATTTTATATAATATATATTATAAAATATATAATATATAATATATATTGTATAATAAATATTATATATTCTATATATATATATATATATATAGAGTATATAATATATTATGTATATATATATATTAGAATACTATATATATATATATAGTTATATTTTTATATTATATTATATGATATATATATATATTATTATTATATATGTGTATATATTATATCAAATATATATATATACATAGATCTATTATATTATATATTATTATATATAGTATATTATATATATCCGCCGACCCCGCCTTAGCCAAGGCAGGGGCGGCGCCTGGGACCACCGCAGGTGTGGAACTTTTTTTCGTTCCCAATGCTTTGCACTTTCCACGAGCCACCCAGGCCATAGCACCCTCTGTTCACCGCCCAGGAGCCACTCAGGCCACAGCAATTTCTGTGCACTTCCCACGAGCCACTCATGCCACAGCAATCTCTGTTTCTACGGCGTTCCAAAATGCAACAGGCCGCGGCAGACCTTTCCTGCAGCTCCAACAAGTCCCTGAGGCCCTGGCAGTGTCCTTTTAAGGAGGTTCAAGGCTGCCGTTTGCCAGCCCGCAAAACTCCCCAACCCTCCCCTGCAGCTCCCAGGCGCCACTCAGGCCGCGGCAGACCTTTCCTGCAGCTCTAACAAGTCCCTGAGGCCCTGGCAGCGTCTTTTTATGGACGTTCAAGGCTGCCGTTTGCCAGCCCGCAAAACTTCAGGCCGCGGCAGACCTTTCCTGCAGCTCCAACAAGTCCCTGAGGCCCTGGCAGTGTCCTTTTAAGGACGTTCAAGGCTGCCGTTTGCCAGCCCGCAAAACTCGCCAAACCCTCCCCTGCAGCTCCCAGGCGCCTCTCTCTCTCTCTCTCTACCGGACCACCCCCAATAGGGGGGTCGGCGGCACCAGGGCGCTAGCCCATTCTATAACATTATATATACATTGATCCCCCAGCGATTCTAGGGCACAGAGCATGATGCACAAAAGTTCTCCGAGTTTCAATCAGCACATCCCAGGTTTGATGACAATGAAGCAGGATTAATTGTTATTTATGTTTGATGGTAATTAGTGGAATTCATGGTTTTTATATGTTTTTATGGGATTAAATTCTTTGATGGTAATGATATCCTGGTTATTCAAAAAAACCTAAAAACTACTGAACTCCAGTGACATAGACCATATAGGCAGTGGAATACCACAGGTATAATATGACGCCACACAAAATGAGTCCCTGAAACTGGGCTCTAATCGCACCAAACGATCAAGTTTTAGGAGGTCATTGGATTGAAAAGTGAATTTCAGGCCATGTTTGATACCCTCTGGTAAATGGGCCATAGTTATGTTAAAGATGAGCACCTTTTTGAAAAGGGTAATTTCCCATGGTTATGTTCAGTTATCCGAGGGATACCAGGGGGTACATCTATATGATACATTTATCAATAAATATCTATAATATACAGCTCATAAATCGGCAGGCTTCAACTACAAGTGGCAATTCCCATAGATGTCATATTATTCATATGTTGTGTCCAATCTGTTCCCATTACCCTCTGGTAAACTAACAGTTCACTATGGAAAATCACCATGCTATTAATGGGTAAATCAACTATTTCTATGGCCATGGCTTCAATAGCGATGTTTGTTTACCAGAGGGTATATTATATACATATATATATTCCCATTAAAACCTCCACTGACTGGCCAGGATTTCCCCTCGGGGGGGTTGGGCCGACGGACATCTTCTCTGGGACTTCTGCCTGTGCGGGCCTGCTCAGCTGGGCGAATGGATCCATGGGATATCCCGATGGGCATGGCGTGGGCGATATTCATTTTCATAAGAATAACATGGACCATATATATATATATATATGTATGTATATATATATAATTATATATATATATGTAGATAGATAATTATATATATACACATGAAATACATGGGAGATATCAAACATCAAAGGGGATGAATGCCGGCAAATTACAATAGTTTCCACACATGTTTTTGCCGTATTTTGGAATGGTTTTCTCCACACATATTTCATTTTGTTGAGTCTGTCTTTAGTGGAGATCGAGGTCCCTCACCCAACACCAGCGCCTCAACGGAAAGGACACTGGAAGCTGTATGAACCTTAGCAAGTTGGACTGATGGAATGGCTTGATTTGGCACAAAGGTGAAGGAGTCTCGGATTGTCGGTGCAGGAAATAATGGATTTCCACTGAACAATGTTTGATTGCCAAAGGGTAGCTGCCGAAATGGCCACAATTTGTAGTTTTTTTTCTACTGACTGGCATCTTCCTGGCAGCTTCTACAGCTGGCATTCATGGGCGAGTGCCGTACCCCACAGATTCCACATAAAATCCAATTTTTCGATGGGCAACCCTCCAAAAAAAACATTAAATCCGCTCAAAACTTCCGATGCTTCAATCCCAATTCTTGCAGGAAGAAAACAAATATGTTCGATACTTAAAATGATGGTCAAATTTAGACCCATACAGGTTAAACTCGTTATATAACCCCACACATAGACACACGGAAAAAACAAGAAAACTCGGATTTTGTGGGTCAAAAATCCAAGACCCAGGGGTTGACCGCAGATTTTGTTGCCCAATTCTGAACCGCCAATCGGAGGATCAAACAGCACTTTGTTTCGTAGCCCTGGTGATCGTAAGTCTCCGATGATGGATTATTTCACATACAGCATAACTTAGTTATGGATGGGATATGAACTTTACAAGTATTTAGAAGTTATGACTATGTTTATCCTCAGCACTTAGGATGCCTGGCATGATCCTGCAAGTATGCGATCAAATCCCCAATACATCCTGGTGAAATCCCATGAATCCCCATGAAACATCTCAGTAAATCCCAGTGAAATCTTATGAACTCCCAGTTTAACCCCAGTTAAACCCCATTCAACATGTCATGAAACCCCAGTAAAAACCCCGGGGTTTAATCCTGCGCCCAGCCACAGCTCCGCGCGAAGATCTTCCCGAGAAAGCTGGAGGAGCAACTGCCTCGGTCGCCGCAGCACCTCCGCCGCGGAAGTGTGGGAAAGCTTGTTTGGAAAATCATGGGAAACAACGAAGGAAAACATGGGATTGTTTATCATGATTTATCATTGTTTAATGATTGATTATCATCCATTAAATCATGAAAAAATATATATATGTTAACAATCATAAACATGAAGAATGATCATTTAATGATTTAATTTATCCATATTTATCCTGATTTATCATGCTTTACTATGGATGTTTGTTTGGTAGTTTGGCCCATCCAGACAGGTGTAACTCGCTAAATTTCTGCGGAAGAATCCAGCTGTTTTGAGTCCTTTTCAGATATGATATAAGTTTTGGGAAAAAGGCATCGACAATGTCCGCCCTTCTTTCCTTCTTGTTGGCAATGTCCACTGATGTTTGGTGGCGAAATTACCTCTGTCATCCTCTGTCTAGGTTTCGATTAGCTTCAATGTACCTAGGGACTAGGAACAATCAAAAACTGCGTGGATGCAGCGACAAACGGGTAGACTTGTAAAACAGAAAGCCCGCAACGATATACCTACAATCTAATCTTTCGCACACACACACAACAAAACAATTCTCCTACCCCTTGAGTCAGTTCAGTTATATTGAAACAAGAGACTCTAGGGAATGCCACTCTGAAGCATCATTTTCCAATGATCATCATGAGTATCATAGCGATCAGATTTATCATCAGCTAGCATCAAGTAGCTTTGTTATTGAATGATTCGTTCAGGCTCTGGTGCGACTCTTAACGGCTTCCATTGATGCCATCATTGTCAACACCACGGGATGGGTCTGGAGTTTGGACGCAGAATGGTCCAGCTGGGCTGCATCGTGGGTTCCATTGACACCCAAAACCGTATTTGTGTCGTGTCTTATTGTATATACAATTGTAAGGATTATGTATATACACTTCTATATATATATATATAACAATTTGTATATATATATATATAGTATGTTAATTTAAAATAATTTGACAGACTCATGTCCTTTCAGGTCCTTTTCAGAATGGTCCATAAACTCTGTCGCTTTGGTGATTCTCTTCATAACTTTGTACCAATCCTTGTGCAACGGCCGTTCTGCTCCCTTGCCAGGCTTTGGCCACAACCAACCATACTCGGATGATCTTGGTGCGGTTTCCAGATACAAGTAGTAAGTAGCTAATCACAATATTTCAATCCGGTCAAGGAATATTCCCAGTTCCGCATGGCTTTAAGCATGTTAAACCACTCATATAGATACTTATATACTATAGACTCAAATCCAAATCCGAGATCATCTAAGGGATACTGTATATTGATCCAGTATCCTCGTGGATGACCTAGTCCCACACCTAACTTTTTCTCACAGGGCCGAGGCATCACTGAATGTGTTGCTGGTGCATTGGAGCATCCAAGTAGTGCCAGGTTGAACCCATGTTGCCCATGCTATTCCCTCAGGTGATTCAACACACCAGATCAGAACTATACTGGTTGGTGGTATACCTGTATACCCCTCTGGTGGTTTCAACCCCTCTGAAAAATATGAGTTCGTCAGTTGGGATTACTGTTCCGAATATATGGAACGATAAAAAATGTTCCAAACCACCAACCAGTATATCAACATCATATCATTCACCAAAAATAACAGTATTTTCATCATCATTGTTGGGCCTTGGTCGTAGTTCCGGAATTGATGGTGGAGGCTCGGTCACATTATGAGCGCAGCCGGCGCATGCTTTAACAGAAAGCCAATATAGAGGCCCAACAAATCCCAAACGATTCCACGTGAAACCACAGCTCAACACATACTGTACTTATCTGTACTTTATTTGCAAAGCCTTTGAAGCAATGGTCGAAGCATTTCTCAAAAAAAGGCTAGGACATTACAAGGTGGTGCCCCATAGTTAGCTAAGTTGGTTTATAACTCCCATAACTGTGGTTTATGGCAGATATAGTTAATGGGGGTTATAAACCAACTTATAACTGGGGGGCACCATCCTGTAGGAAATCCACGAAAAAAAATAGAACGAGGAGTGGTTTGGATGCTCCCAGTATCTCCCAGCTTCTCTGCAAATAAGTTCTCATCTCTTTGGACTGATTAAGCATGAAGCAAATGGGGGTTTCCATAGTCATGGGGGTATCCAAAATCCATCAAAATCCCAAAATGGTTGGTTTATAATGGAAAATCCCAACTATAACTGGATGATGGGGCTACCCCTATTTCAGGAAACCACCAAATGATCTCTGAGATCAGGAAGGCTGAGGAATTTGGATAAATGTGTGAGTCTTGTAGTTCACCTCCAGGAGAATCCTTAAGCCTTGAGTATTGGTCAAATGTGTTCGGATATTTTCTGTTCGCAAGGTTGGATGGCCCAAGTACATTCTCATGCTGATTTTTGTCATCAAACATGGCCAAGAAAAAATCCCCATTTCGTTTCCATTGCCATTGAGTTTGCTGGAAATTTGCAAAACATTGCCATGAAATCAGAAGGATTTCCCACGTTTACCACAGCTCGAGCCATTGCCACACCCATCAAGTGGCTTGTTGATGATTAATGAGGAATATAATTCGATGATATCGATGATCATATTTTTTGGAACCATGGGTACCCTATTTTCAGACAAACCCATTCCCCAAAAAAACACATGTTGACGATTATTGTCGGAACACCACATAACCATTAAACACAACGGGTGCAAACAATCTAATAGCAACATTAGGTCTGATTATGTCATGTTTTTGTCCAATCATCTAAATTCAGCAGCAGTGATTCCTTGATCTCGTGGATGTTTCACCGGTTGGCGCGCTCAGAGGCTACCGCAATCCTCAGCTAGGCGCTCAGATTGAAGGGTCAAGACATGGTTCAGACCTGGATTCCCCAATCCATTGGTATCAATCATATAATCAATGGATTGGGGAATCCTGTTCATATGTACTAAAATATATGATGGAATCCATTGATTGGTATATATATATATATGAGTATCAATCATATAATCAATTCATCACCTTTTTTGCACATGATTCCAATATCTAAACGAGACATTGGCGAATTCCAAACATATGATATCATATGATAATCTATTCCATCATCCCCTAATGGATCATTATAATTAATCCCCAGCAGACTGAACTAATCATCAACCAGGGGTTTCGAAAGCTGCTCAAATGAAGGGTCAACAAATGTTTAAACAATACGTGTGAGAAGAATATAGCATATTTCGAGATGTGATAACCAACAACATTGGATACTTGATAGAACCATGGGGAACCAAAAAAAAAGACTTAAAGAAGAAAACCTGCGAACATTGGGATTTCCAGCAATAACGCGGACATAATGTTAGGTTTTGCAGGCTGTTAGATTCAAAACAAACATGGCGAAGTCTGTCACTCTATCCATTAAAGGGGTTGTGTACCTGGAACGGCCTTGCAGTAAGTTTCTTTTCGTTGCAAACTTCAGGGATACCGATAGCATAGCAGTTGGAAATTGAAATCCAGCATGTGAATCGTTGATGTTCCCATTAGAACCTCAATTTTTATAGAGGATTTTCCAGCCAGCGGCTTTTGAATCACTGCACAAGTCACCCCTGTCCTTGAACGATCTGAAGACCAGGGCATGCCAGGGATGAAACAAATTGGTGCAGGCCAAGGGTGGTTTTGATGGCCATGACTAGGGGGATGTTAACATATCTTAACCTCAAGTTGGGATATGATCCCTACAACTATGGTTATCTGTCGCTCTTATTAGTGGAACTGCACCAAGTAAGACATGTTCCTCAACTTTACCCCTTTTCGGCATGTTATTTTTCTGCGATCAAGTGCATCAAGTGGGTACCCTATCGTGCCATCTGGCCAATTCCAGATGATGTCGGCGAACATCCAAACATTCCGCATGAATTTTCCTTTTGGTTTTCAGTCATATAGTTATATTTGGATATATTTGCTATGATGAATCGATAATAGACATCAATGATATCAATACCCTCTGGTAATTTAACATAGCTATGGAAAATCACCATCTTTATTGGGTAAATCCACTATTTCTATGGCCATTTTCAATAGCTATGTTAGTTTACCAGAGGGCAACCCCCAGCAATGAAACCTGGGAAAAAAACACTTCCAAATTTCTTCAGCTGGGACTCCGTCGCCCAGTGGCCGGTCAACTTGCTCTTCGAGCTTCTCCAAGCCCTCAGTTCCTGACACGTCTCATGGCGATGGAGAATGGATTTTAAGGATGTTTTAATTGGCGTTTAATCCCAGTAAATGGGTTAATCCATATACCAGGCAGTTACTTCTGCCCTCTAATGGAAGCCACTTAGACCCAAAGTGCCAAACGGTCACTTACAAGATCAATCATGCATAAGTGACCTCGTTTCAAGAATCCTTAAGTGACCTTGCCTGGCTGATCACATGATTTCTGCGTGTCACTGCGTGTCACTTGCGTGTCACTGGGGTTTCGAGGTGGGATGAAACGAGGTCACTTAGGACCCTGAAAAGGTCACTTAAGCCTTGAAAAGGTCACCTAAGGATTGGCTGTCTGCGTGTCACCTGCGTGTCACTTGCGTGTCACTCTTAGGCCATTTGTTTGCTCGTTTCCTTAACTGACCTCTTTCTACGTTTTCCTCAACTGAGCTCTTTCTAAAGGCCACTTAGCAGAAAACACAAACAAGGTCACAAGGAATCGTCTGGTATGTGTATATATATATATATATTATATATATACATACATATTTATATACATATTTATATACATTATGTTTATAATAAGGTATATTCTTATAACTATTTATAACTCAGTGTACAATGTTTCAAAAAGATTCAAAAGGCAGCTTGCCGGTGAATCCACCCATTTATTTTCGTTTGCTGTTCACTGGGTGACGATCTGATTTCTGCCTCTCAGTTATGATACAGGTCACAATCATTCTATACATAGATAAGAGACACAACAAAAATGCAAATCTGCAGACTGCCCCTGAGTTAAAATCATTGGACCTGTCTCAATGTCTCAATTGCTCAATTGCCAAGTAGTGCCACCTACGAGACAAACTGTGACAGTTTTATTGCCCTGTTCTTGTGTAGCACAATGATTGCTCTACGCCCTCAGAACTACACTGAGAACAAGATGGAATCTGCAGATTGGTTTCGCGGTGGCCAAATGTTATTCCCGCTTCAAGTTTTTGGAGCACCCCCACAAAAACGACGAAATCCCACTTTGCATTTCAGTCACAACCACGTAATACCGTCCAACGATCTGAGTTCGGCGTTACATACAGGCAAAAGAGGAAGTCATGCCTAAGTCATGCTTACGGTGTTTCTCCGCACGGCACCGCTGTTTTAAAAAGTCACGCCTAAGTCATGCCTAAACGGCTTTCCTGCATGGCACCGCGATCATTGCGGCACTCATTCAGTTGATGTGGTTTCAAAATGTTCTTACGGCCATTCCTCTTGTTTTAGTTGGAGTAGCGTCCTCCATGCCCTTAAGGACGCTTTCTTTCCTTGCAGTTCCCTCTCCTTGCTCCTCTTTCCTGACTCCTTTCCCTCTCTCTGGAGGCAGCAGCAAAGCAGCAGGAGGAGGCAGCAGCAAGCAAGCAGCAGCAGCGTTAGCCAAGCAGCAGCGAAGCAAACAGCAGCAGGCACACAGCAGGCAGGCACCAGAGGGTAAATCTTAAAACAAAAACACAGGGTCTCCATGGTATCCGGTGGTATCCCTCATGTCCAGATGCGCAGCCACGACGTTCCAAGACTCAGGAGACATGCGAGAAGACGATCCGATGCAGCGAGAACGCACCTGGGTGCAGTGTGTTTTTCAGGTAGACGCGGTGTTCAACTTCGATCAACGTTTCATAGCCTTCACGAAATACATACATATATATATATATATATGTACAATATGTATAATATAATATATTTACATATTTATTTATTTTTATGTACAACACAATCAAACATATGTATAGTTGCACATATAAACATTCCCTTTATGTAATGTTGTTTACATAAAAAAAACAACAAAAATAATATTTGTATGTATATATATATATATATGTATGCATATGAATATGTGTATATACTGTATATGTATATGCATATGTATATGTATATGTATGTGTATGTGTAAATGTATATGTACATGTAACTGTACATGTATATGTATATTCATATGTAAATGTATATGCATATACATGTCTATAAATATGTGAACCAATACTGTTATTTTCAGGAATTATGGTTATAACAATACATAACCTTATGATGATCCACCTAATGTGCAATACCCCCCCACATGGCCACCCAAATGACCAAATACCTTTCACTCGAGCTTCGTTTGGGGATGTTGAACATTTTTGGGGGATTGTCATGAGGTATTCAACCAAATTGACCACCAACAACCAGTAGTAATGGCTTATTAATTCTTCGGTGGTTGAATCCCCATGAAGATAGATGTCGGTGTAAATGTGGCATATAATACACATAAACTACTGGATAGGCATATCGACAAGTCATGATATGTCATGATGTGTCGGTAAAGAAAGCTATGTTTGAAGCGCATTTCGACACTGGCATCCCCCACCGCCAAAACTGCCAGAAACCGCCAAAAGAACATTCAACACATTGCAAAGGGCAATTAATCAGACTATATAATTATGCTACGATCTTGTATGAGTTAATATACTTGCCAACCTTTGCAGGCGCATAGTTTACATGACAAAGTTGTGGATTTAGTTTCCCTGGCAAACTTTTTACTTGGGCACTATACAAATCCGTTTGGCTTAGGTGGCTGACGTGGCTAAGCTCAGATGACTTTTGCTCGGACATGGCCTAAGGGTCCCTGGGCCTTGGTCCCAGAACTTGACTCGCATATGTTTGTAAATACATTAATATGGTAATCTATATAGTATATAGTATATATATATTATATACGGTTCTAGGTACATATATATATATATATATGTGATGAAAATATGTGTATGTAATTATGTATATATATATATATATATGTGTGTGTGTTATGTTTGTGTGATTAAAAATAACTAGAGGTGATGATACACGTATTTGCTTATGTGTATGATCATAAATATATATATATATATATATTTATTTATAAACATGTGTATGTATATATATATGTCATTATTTACAGATATGTTCATGATTATAGTTATGTTTATGATAGTATACATATGATGATCATCATGCATATCTACATATAGATATGTCTATGAATGTCATGTGTATGTTGTATGCTGTCTGTACACATGCTAATTCTACTCATAGTGCATTTGTACTTGACCGCTGATTCACACATACATACACTTGCATGGCTAGGATATTGATGGAGTGTGTTTTCAAGGGCAGCATGTTTGTTGCAAAAACATGCAGAAACTAGGGGCTAAAAGTTCATTGGTTACCCTGTATGCAACCAGAATCGAAGAAGTTTTCTCTGAAGCATACGCCAGCAAGTGCATGCAAATACGCGCTCTAACCTTACATGTGTACACGCCAAGATAGCCAGATTTGGGTCACCTGCAATTTCCAAAACATGTTGGTTTGAAGTCAGCATCCCCAATCTGCTGAACTGGTTTTGGGATGTTTTGGATCAACACTGTTTCTTTTCATGAGGAGGATGTTCGCCAAAAGACCAGGGTTTTTGTTGACCCATGCCAATAGATAAGTAAAGCCAACCCAGGCCGGGCAAAACACCCTGGCACAGTGATTAGTTGATTAGTACAACCACAATAACTTGCAGCTTGCAAACTTCAATCTGAACATATTTGGTCCAAAATGGAGTACCCCTAAATCCAATGGTTTACCATCTGTTTTGCTAGTCAATTGCCATCTAGGGGTGCACACAAAAAATTAGACCACACCCATAGTTCAAAGTCAGACTGAATGACACTAAGGAACTCTCAAAGGATCTTTCACACGAAGTTTTCCCATTTCATCCTTAGCAGCTGCCAACATCGCAGCGCTGCGCAATGTGCACCACCAAATGCTACAAGGACCCATGTTTATTGCTATACATAACAGGATGATACGTGGTCTCAACATGTTTTCAAGGTCAACCCCGTAGCATACCAACGCGATGAACCCTGCTATAAAGGAATGGCAATGCCTCTAATAAGATCATCTCAGTAAACAAAAACTCAAGATGAAACGGTTCGTTTTGGACAAATCTCTAGTCGCAATGGAAACTGCATGTCCAAAATTATATTTTCTGAGTGTACATGCCTGAAACCAATTATGTAAGACCAGAATTGGACATGCAAATTCCCATACATTGTGTATATATATATATATAATATAATATGTATATATGAAATTGTGATACATATTAAGGATTATTAAGGTATTTTCACCAATGGGTCAAACACAACAACAGCCATACAATTATTGACTATTGGCAGGCAGGCAGATCTTCAAACATGTCACTTGTTCATGAAACATGTTTTTTGATGTTCATCTGGGTATCAGTGCGAAGTGTTTCTGGAGCCAATGCCAGTACCGAGTCGCAGTGTCAAAGTCCCAAGATATCACGTCATGGACCTTGGGAGATCTTGGGAAAACCTGTTTTGGGCAGGATTCGGGCCAACACATCCACATTTGACCCAAAAAAATGAAACAATAAACATGGGATGAAATGTCCGTCCGACCACACGGGTAGCTGAATAGTTCGAAAATCAATGGGAAATCAAACTATGGCAGCAGGGGTGGAAAATTCAAACCTAAAAATTGGATGGCCCATCCCCACCGAACATTCACCGAACAAAATAACAATTTAAAAAAACGAAATCATACGTTTATTTCGCCAAACAGTTGCATCAACACATCCCAAATATGATTTTGAATAATAACAATCATGCATGCACATGTCATGTCTTACATTGCTGCTTGTGGCAGTATGATGAAACAACCAAGCCGGGTTGAACAGTATGGAAAACACACCACTGCGAAATTATTTTTGGATGGTTTGTTCATTGAGGATGATTGCGGCGCTGAGCGCGTCGCAGCACGAAACCATGTCTTATCATTTGATGATTCCGCTGATGTTTCATGGGCATCCCCAGGGAACATCTCAGACTCAATGACATTTTTTCCAAAAGAAAGGCTAGACTGGTAATTCATTTTTTTGGAAGGAACAATGCCTAAAGGACTGTCACTTTGTTTGTTTTGGAAAACCATTTCGACCAAATCAATTTTGCATCCCGTTCTTCTTTGAGCAACTTATCAATTTGATGATTCGGCCATCCATGGCCATTGGAATTCAAACAAATAAAGACACACCAGTTGCCCTCAGCCTAGCCACAATGTCCTTGAGTTCCGTTTCCATCTCTGTGATTATGATCTCCGGTTCCATCCTTACCTCACGGCCCAACCATGTGCAGGATTGTTGCATACCAGAAAAATGCCGAAAACGAATCAAAAACGCATTGAGCAACCGGAAACTCGATGTCAGCGCATTTGCTTGCAAATGAAATTGAATTGCTGGCCTCTCCAAACTACAAATTCCCTGTGATTTTGTCCATGTTTGGTGTGACAAAATCAGGCGGGTCTACAATGGCTTACAGTCCCGTCACGTGAAAAAATGTTTAAAAAAATTGGCGCCGTGTTGCTTGAAGAGCCTTCTTTCCGTTGCCGTCATCCTTTGTCTGAATCCCTGAGTACCTCTGTGGTGATCCCTTGGGGCCCAGGACCCGGGTGGATGAAAAGAACCTCAATGTCCGACATGCCAAACCAATGCAAGAAGGAGAAAAACAATGCAAATGCCATCGAACCGAACCCATCAAGAAAATAAAGCACAAAGACCACAACGACCCTTGTGATAGCAAGACCATGCATGCAACCATCAGACCACCACTAAGTACTGCCACGAATGCCCCATGAGTCATGTCGACAAGGATGCCGTGTCTTGCCAGGATGCAAGAGCACAGAGTCCCCCAGCCGCAGCGGGTCGCCTTCGCTCGTCCCTCCTGCTACTTTGGCTTCTCGCAGGCCGCAACAAGGATTACGCGCTTCCACTGCAAACCAAACCATCCGCTTTGCCACCCTGCTCCTAGATGCTTGCCAGGCACCCTATGCCATCCTGCAAAAGCGCTCATCTATCTACAACCCGGCATGCTTATTGGACCGAAGATACATGAAGCAGCATCGTGCAGAAGGACTATCTCAAGCTTGGCCCTCTCACAACATCCTAATACGTGCCATCCCACAGATAGCCAGCGTAGGCGCAAGGGAAGATCGACTTGAGAACAAACGACTCATGGTTT